CAGCCCTGGAGCTCCCACCTTGGAGGGGGGCAGGTGGTGGCCGTGTCCTGCAGGAGCACTGGGAAGACTCCCATTCCCAGCCATTCATGCCAAAAGTACTCTTGCTCACAGCTGCTTGAGTTCTAACACCCCCAAACCCAACGACAGAGCAAGAAGAGTCCCTACTCTGTGGGTCAGCCTCCCAGCGGGGTCTGTGTCTCCTGTCTCACTGTCTGCCTGGCCCCAGGCTCTCAGCTCTTGTCCGGGCCCTGCCTCTCCTCCCTTCTTCCCTGCCCAGTGATGATGCTCCTTCCTGCAATTACCCCGCTCCACCCTAACTCCTCTCTTCCGAGGACATCTGGGCTCCAGGAGCCCCAAGTCCTTTCCCTTCACATTAAGACATGGGATGGGCACTAATGGAGTCGCAGCGTACTCTGTTCTTGGGAGCTGGAGAAATCCCAGGACACAAGTGACACATGTTTGTGGGCCTCTTTGTTGCGTAAGTCTTCAGGGAGATTGGTTCAAATCTGTGCCCTCTCTCACACTCTCGTCTCCCACCCAAAGCTACCCGGGGTGTCAGTCAGCCCTGCGGGGCTAAGTCTATCCGTGAGACACTGTCCCCACAGGCCCGCTTTCCTTCTACAGAAGGGTCGTGGAAGCTAACCGAGGGCGGCCCTACTACTCTCTAGTTCCAAAATTACCGAAAGCCGAGAGGATGACGAAGATGGGGGCAAATCTGAGAGAGGCAGAAGGCAGGGACGTTAAGACATAAGAAGATACTTGTAAACCCCCGAGGAATAGCCACATCCCAGCCCTATCTCAAAGCTTCACAAGTTTAGGAAGGTAAGATCCCCACCGCCCAGAAGTGGGCCAGGGCAGGGAGGGAGCCAGAGAGCCTTCTCAGGGGTGGGGGGTGAATGAAGAGACCCGAGGCCTTTTCAATAAGAGCCTGACCAACAAAGGCCCTTTCATTCCCCTGGGTCTCCAATAGTATAAGTCCCCACAGAGAAGGAGGGAGTGTTCTGGGATCCCAGCCACTTCCCTATTTGCAAGATCAGAGGCGGTACCGGACACTGAGGGTGCTGACCACAGAAGTCACATTGGGTAGCTAGCTATGTCCCACGCATTCCAAACATTCCTGGGCAGGGTGAAAGCAGACCGCGCTCTAGTCCCTATACCCCAGGCAATGCAGACATCAGGAAGGTGTGGGGAGGGGACAACTCTCCCTGTCAAAGTCACTGTTCAAGGATGTATTAGTCCAAGGTGGCCCCAGGCCTGGAATGCCAGTGCTATAGAAGCTCCACACGAGGGAATCCACCTATCCCACTCACCAAGACAGATAGACAAACACACAGAAAAGCCAGAGAGACCCACAGGGCAAAGGTCAGCTCTCTCCCAGGCCTGGCTCCTTGCAGCTCCCGTGGCCATGGACACACATGGGCTTTTCCCATGCTGCTCTGTGCTGCAGGAAGGACTTTGGAGAGGCTACCTTGCCCCTGTGGGCAGGACCTGCTCTGACTTGGCTCCTTATCAATGGTGTATTTTCTAATCATTTCTGGCAAGTACAATGTTCACAGGGCCCTCCTTTTCTAAGACTATTTAAAAGGCATCATCAAAAAGCTTTGGGGGGGGGGGAACACTCTTTTTGAGTTAAAACCATCCTGCCCTGTGTAGTGCACACCTGGGCAGTGGTGTTACATTTCCTGGGCCCCCAGAATCAGTGGCATTTTCTCCCAAAGCTATACACACTCTCACATGCCCCTTGGTTCTCGTAAAGTGGAGACACACACACTACACTCCCACAGGCCCACAGCTAGGCTCACACATGCTTCCCTGTGCATTCCAGTGAGCAGCCCTGGGAACAGAGATGCTAAGAGAGGCTAGGTTAGGGTGACTTTTTTCCTGGGCCCTGCTGGTCACAGACAATAATGGGAAATGACTCCGAGGCTGCTTCTTAGTCTTGCCCGTCCCCCGCCAACGGTCCCTTCTGCCAAACGTGCCAAGAAGGAAGCATTTCTGATGACGGCCACCTAACTGCTTTTTCTTCAGCTCAGCGGCCACATTCCAGCCCTATCTCAAAGTTCCAAAAGTTTAGGGGTATCAGTAAGAGGGAAACAGGAGGCAAGGAGTGGCTTCCCAAGTGTCCTCCCATTGGAGTCACTGTGGAGGTGGCAGCCTCAGCTGGCTGAGGTCACAGATGGAAAAACAATGCTCTCTCTGACCCACTCATTAGCTGTGTCTATTGTCCCATGGCTGGACAGGACAAGAGAGACAGGGAGACAAGGAGACGGGGAGACAGGGAGGGCAGAGGCAAGACGGAAAGGCTCTGAGTCAGGGGAGTCAGTTGTTGGAGGCTCACATAGGCGAGAGGGGAAGGCAGGTTTCCCTGGGGAAACTGTCCGGTGCTCAGGTCAAAGGGGACCCAGAGGATTTCATCCCCTGGGGCGGGGTTTGGGTAGAGGACAGAAGGGGACAAAGGGCTTAGAGACAGAGAGGCCCACAGGCTGGACAGGCACGTCGCTGAGCGCGGATGTCATCTCCAATTAAAGCAGGAATTATGGGCTGGAGAACCACCCTGGTCAATGATCGATGGAGAGCACCAGCCTGGCAACTGAGAGGAAGCCGGGGGGGGGGGCGGGTGGGCACGGTGGGCCTGGAGCTGGAAGCACAGCACCCCTACCCAATGGCCATGTCAGCCTAATGGGTTACCTCATGCACACTGGAAGGCACCCCAGCCGTGCCTGAGGGTTTGCCACCAGAGTTTCAGGGAACACCACAGAAGAGATGGAGAAAATTGAGGAGAGAGGACTTGTCTTATTCATCTTCCTGACCCCAGTACCTGCCACGGAGCTGCCCAGCAAACATTTGCCAATCTGAGTCACAGAGGAGGCCAGCAGTTTCCAGACATTCCAAGGTGGAAGTTTCAGTCCAAAAATGGCCACATGGCGCATGGACTACCCTGGCCAAACCACAGATGGCCAGGCCAGATGGGCAGCCATCCTGAGAGGCTCCAGACACAGGTGCGCGAGAGGGATTATTTTCAGCGGGTAAAATATGAACAGAGTAGTGTGGGGAAAAAACTCCCAGGCTCGGGGAAGAGGAGAGGGAAGGGAGCAGTGGGCTGGACAACAGACCCACGTCAGAAATGTCGAACCTGGGCTCCATTGCTTGGCACCTGCAGATTGTGCAGAAGGTTCTTGAGGATTTACAGCTGAGAACAGCTGAAGCCATGAGCACATCTCATTTACAAAGATGTGCACTGTGCCTCTACTGCCATGTCACAGGGAAGCTGGTGCCCAAGAAGCACATTTGATCGAGGGTCAGAGACCGTGCACGCATGGTGCATGCCATGATGGGCTTGGATCTTTTCTAAATGGGTGGCAGAAGGTGGGGGGTTTGGAATGATCACCTCTCCCTCGCAGGTGCCACTCATGAGAGGGGCAGCCCAGGCTGGCTCAGATGCTCGCTGAGCAAGGCGGACTCCCTGCTACCCGACCCACCTGCCTTGGGTCCCAGGGTGCCAGAAAGGGGGAGGCAGGCTGGGAGCTGCTTGACCAATGAGCTTCCAGAAGATTCTCTTGGTCTCCACCTTCTATGTTCACTAAGCCTGCTTAGGCTACCCTGAGCACCTGCTAGAATAGTTCCAAAGAGACCCATGGGCCAAGTTGCATCGGAAAGCCAGGGCAGCCCCTGGAGTACAAGGATGGCTTTCTCCACAGTCCCCGGGCCCAGGACATCTCTCTACCTCATATCCCAGTGGAGGTGTTCGGGCCCTGTGGGGAGGCACTGGGACCCACCAGCCTGGTGATGATGTGGAGGGGGGATGGGGAGCTGGAGGGGTGGGGACACGGAAGGATGATGACTGTGCACCACCCACAGATCTGGCAACACAAACACAAACTGAAGGAAGCAGGGTGTGCAACAGAAATAGAATCAACCTAAAATGGGGGTAGGAGGAAACCAGATCAGGCAGTCATCTTCATAAGCCAACCCCCCGGTTCCTCACCTGCTTCTCAGTCCTCCCCACTGCCTAGAGCTTCTAGTGATCCCCTGCCCCCTAGCCTTTGCTCTGCCAGGGTGAGCCTTGCCCTCAGCGTCAGTGGAGGACAGGGGAAGGAACCCTGGGGTTCCCCGCCTAGCACCTCCAGCTTGAGGATAGGCCTTCTGTGGTGACACACCCTTTGGTGTCCTCGAACCCACAACATGAGGGCTTGAGAGGACTGTGATCAGCAGGCCATTTCCTAAGCCAGGACCTGCCCGCCCACTCCTCACTGCTGCTATGCATTTACCTCCCAGACCCCGAGAGTGGAGGCTGTTCTTCATGCTGAAGACTCTGAGGAGCTGGGTTTCTAAGGGGCGAGGGAACAATCAGCCCGTGGTGCCCACTAAGACTCCAGGTCCTGGAGCACCTGGCCCTATCCAAGGACAAGCTCACTCATGGTCACTGACCAGAACCCATGGTAGATGGCAGCGCTGGTGCTGGGCCCCCATGCAGCATGCGTGGTCAGCATGCACAGTGTTGCACAGTGTGCTCACCCATAGGTCACCCTTTCAGGGGATGGCAGCCTGACCAGAAGACAGGAGCCAGCTCCCTCCACTCATGGTACAGCATTCCTTCAAGGGGCACGGCCAGCCACCCAAGGGCTGCAGACCCTCTCTGCGCTCCGAGATGTCAAAACTAGGCAAGGGCCCAGGTCAGTCCGGGGAAGGAATCACTCAGCTTCCAAGAAAGCTGCAGGTGCAGAGGCTAGGTCTGGAGCCGATGTGTGTGCGGGGGGCCCCTCCTAAGCCATCCAAGGGGGGCCAAGAGTATGTGAAGGGAAGAGGGGGAGGGTTGGAGCTCCTCTGGTCCCGTCCTCCTCATACATCCCTCTTGACAGTCTGGCTTCCCAACCCCTGAAAGGTTAAGTCTGGAGCATGCTTTCATCCCGAGCTTCTCCCTCCTTCTCCACCCTGGCTGGGCTGGGCTCCACCTGCATTGTCCCATGCCATGCCCATTACCTCTGCTGCTGGTACGGTACCTGCAGTTGGAGTAGCTTCAGAACACAGCGCCCAAGATGGCCAGAGAGAGGGAGAAAGGATGAGAGAGGGAAGACAAAACAGAGCACAGGTGAAACCACAGGACAAGCAAGCAGAGAAGTGCCTGGCTCAAACCTGACCCAGACAGTGTGGCCAGGTGCTGGCTACTGCCCTGAGGATGCTGACTGGTGTCCAGGGTTTGTGGTCAGCTCCATGGGGGGTCTGGTATGTTCCTACAGAAAATTTTCCACCCGGATCTTGGAGACCTTTCTAATATACTCTGATTCTACCTCCACTCAAAGACTATCATCTAAGGGGTGGCCGTAGGGACGGTCTACCCAGAGTGCTTTTGTTTCCAGGTCTTTCTCCAAGAGTGTGTCCTTCCATAGCCGGGCTGATCTTTATGAGCAGGCCGGGTGACCTTTCAGGATGCCAAGAATTGAGGGCATAAGGTGTAGGTGGCATAGGAGGACGCCAAGCCCAGTCAAAAGGATGGTTCCTGTATCTTTGGGGGAAGATGGTGAGTAGTGTTGGGGTGGATGGAGGAGGGGCGAGCATCTTTCGTGAACCCTCTCCCACACCATCTCGGCCTTGGAAGGCCCGGGAGCTGTCACAGATGGCAGGCCCGAGGTCCCTGCCTGGAGGGTCTGCTGCCCAGTTTTTTCCCACCAGCTGTACTTTATGAAATAAGAAACCCAACTGTGGATTGGGAGCCCTAAAAAGAATTCCTGAATTTAGTGCAAACCCCTAAATGGAGAAGAAAGTCTCCCTTTGTCTTCTTGTCCCCTGGGGCCCCAGAACGTACCCTGCGGGGGTCACTAGGGCTGGACAATGGGGTACTTGTTGATCCGATGTTCTGTGTTGGGCTGGGGATGGGGAGGGGCAAGAGGCTCTCTCTATGTCTCTCCTTCTAGAATTAAGGAGTCAGAAAGTGCACTATCCCCCGTCTGGCCAGGCTTTTGGTAAGAGGCATATTACCAGCCACTTACCCAAAGTCCCCCAGCCCTAATAAACTGCCCGAACGCCCAGGGGGGTTGATGAGCACACTGGGAGGGGAGCTTATTGTGTGGCTCACGCCTGGTTTACAAGACCAGAGAAGGACCGTTAGGCTTTTTCTAGTTTCTGCCTGTCCCCGCTCCCGCCTGCCTCAGCACCGGCCTGCCTCAGCACCGGCCTGCCGGCCCTGGGGGGCTGGGGGAGGCAGGGCTGGGGAGGGGATGCAGGGCAGCTCTGAAGCTGAGCTGGGAGCCCTGGCAGCAGGCCTGGCAGCGCCAGTGAAGGAAGCCCTGAAGCTCTCCTGGGGTGGGGAGGAGGTGCTCAGGAGGTCCAATCTGGGCCAGAGTCAGGCCATCGGACCTCAGCCTTCTGGGACAAGCACCGCACAGAGTAACCTGTTATCTGCTTCTAGAATCCCAGTTCACACTGCCTCTTCCCTTGCAGAACGGACCCCTCCTCTGCCCAGCCTCTGCCCAGCCACTGCACCTGCCTCAGCTAAACCTAACATTCCCCATGTTGAACAGCAAGGAGATACTCTTGTGGATGTCTCCTCTTCTAGACCTTATCCCTTGTTTTTGGCGCAGTGTCCAGCACCTCATGTTGCATGTGCTCGGGAAATGGCTGTTGAATACACCACTGCACCTCCGAAGAGGCAGGGGTCCCCTCCTTCGGTAGGGGGCCTGCCAATATCTAGGCTTCTAAAGCCTGGTATCCTGGAGCTTCTGGGCGCCAGCACGGGTACAAATGGGCCTGGAGTCCCCCCTAGTGGACTTCTCAGGCAGGCGCACGCCGGTGGGGATGCTCCATGGCTGGGAAGATGCCAGGAGCCAAGAGCTGAGTGCATTTGCTCTTGGGGAAGCTGGCTTGGCCAGTGGCTGTTTCCCAACACCCCCCCTCCCCACGGCCTGACACCCCACCAGCTCAGGCTGCAAGCAGGGACGACACATCCGGCTCTGCTCATGATACTGGCAGGTAGCCTCAGTCAAGGCTGCTTCCCTCCCTCCTTGGCTCCATGTGCCCTCGGGAGAAGGGAGATCCCACAGCCCTCCCCAGGCACCCTTAGTAACCCTGCTGCCCCTCTTGATGGGCGAACACTGCCGCAATTCTCTGAAGTTCATTAGCACGTTTACCTCGTACATGCTTTCCCTCATGTCATCTCTACTATGGACTTAGGCTCTATTTCTAACCCCCCGCCCCGCAGGAGGACAGATGATAGATGTTAGGTAGCTGGGCAAGTCAAGGCAAAGTGGCAATCAGGTCTGACTGCAATCGTCCTAGAAGATCTGAGTTTTCCAGATACATCGTCAGCACCTACCTCTCAGCATAGGAGATGGGATCTCTTGTATCCTACTGGGGGGCTGGAGGACCCGCAGCCTTATTTTCTCTCCATCCCAGAAGGCCGTCTGGCCAGAAGGCCAGGTCAGGGCGTTTCTCTAGGCATCGGAATTAGCCGGGACCTTCCACCCCCAAGGCTGCTGTGATGCACCTACCTTCGTTCGGGGGTGCCGGTGACTCCTCTGTGACTGCTTCCCCAGAGCCCACCTGCGTCCTGGCACCGAGGGTAAAGCGGTAGCGCGACACGGGGTCTGCTCTTCGCACCGTGAACTTGGTCTGATTGGGAGAGAAGTTTTCCACTATCTGCTTTCCTAATTTGGTTCCATTAACTGGGGAGAGATAGGTAAGTGAAATTGAACTTCAGCAGCATTGACCATGGTGGGTTATATAATCTGCAGCTGGAAGGAGAAAGCCTTCCAGTGGAGCCTGCCCCGGGGCCTTAGTGACCCGGGGGATGGGAGACTGGGGTTCAAGGGCAGAGACCTGGGCAAGAACTTTCCAGCTCTTCAATGACACACCAGTGTTAAGGCTTTTTCACTGATCTCATTATCTCCAGCTCACTGCAAAGTTATGTGGCTGATTCTGAAAGATTTAGTTTATAATCCCCAGGCCTTTTCAACAAGGACAAAAGTTTTGAGGTCCTTTCTTCCTTTCAAACAGAACTAGGGCAAAACCACTAGAGCTTTTGATCATTAATGCCTCCTTTGTAAAAGGCCTGTTCAGTATACCTCAAAGGGGGACAGTCAGGTCCAGAGATCATTCAGAACAGCATATAAGGACACAGTTGGCTATTAAAATCATGGACAACACAACACCTGGCCCTTTGAGCTTCCCAACAAGGTACAACATCGCCTACTTTAGAGGCTTTTCAAATGTAACCACACTCATGTCCTCGCAGGGTGACACTAAGCTCTTTCAGTGAGGTCTTCCCTACCCAGGCTCCTGACCAAATCCTTCTAGATACAAGCCGCCTTACCATAAATGACACCTTATTTAGCGTCCCTGAGTGTTGTGTGGATTCCCTTGCATGTAGTCTACCCCATCGGATGAGGTGCAAAACTGTCCTTCCTAGACTCACTTGTATGTGTTGGAGACTCTAAGATCCTCGAGGGGCCGGGGTTGAATCCCTCATTAGACCAGAAGTTCCCTTTGTCTCATGGACCAACTAGAAGCTCCCTGCAGAAGGAGCTGTGTCAGGTGAGCAGAGAGCTGGGTCTCACCTGCCTTCCCTAATCCTCTGGGGAACTTTCTCCGTGGCACCTCCATCATTCTGCACCCATAGGCTTTCTACCTCGATTCCTTAGTGAAATGGTGAGAAGGGGGTTTCTGAATCCCGGATTAAGAGAAAGAAGGGAAGAACGTACAGGCCACGTATTTGAGAGTGTATCCAGTCAGGATCCCATTGGGGTGTTCTGGATGATCCCATTCCAGGTTGATTGTCTCCAGGTTGGGCTGCCGGACTCGGAAACGCCTGGGGGCACTGGGTACTTGGGGAAGGAGGAGAGGGCAGGGGAAAAGAAGGGGAGGGCGGAGGCAGGATGAGGAAACAAAAAAACAAAGCACAAGTATGAAGGCATTGACCTCGCAGCAAGCCCCATGCTGGACAGCTGCTAAGCCAGAATCCGGGAGAACCACAGGGGGGCCAGAGCCCTTTGCCCCATCCAGGATGTTGTTCCCCCCACCCTGTTTAGGACAAGCATGGCTCAGACTCCGTTTAAATGGCGAAGAAATCAGTGAGGTTTGCCTTTAGCAACTACCGTGGATTCAGCACACGTTAGGCTCTGCCCCTGCAAAGATGCCTTCGAGCCGGCAGGGAACCAACCAGAGCTGTGGGCACAGAGGATGTGGTTCCCAGTCCTCAGACGAGGAGTCTCACCCTGGGGCCCAGCAGCAGGCCCAGGCTTCCGAGCTGAGAATGCGGGGTTCAGGGGTGAGCAGAAAGAAGCCCGAGATGGGACTCATGGACAGGGCACCAGGAGCGGGGGCGATGGGGAGAGGCTGGAGGTGAAAAGCAAAACAAGGGAGCGGGACAGATAGGAAGAAAGAAAACAAGAGGGAAGAAAAAAGAAGGAGGAAGAGAAGAAAAAGGGGGGGGGGAAAGCGGTGAAGACCGGTGAGGGAGGAGAAACAGAAGAGGGCAAAGCGAACAACGAGCTGATAAAGGAGGACGTGGTGAACTTCACAAGTGTCTGCCTCCCAGGCCCAGGGGGACCTGGAGTCAGCAGCAGGCAGGGCGCCCCCTGCAGGGCCGCCGCGCACACGGGCCAGCTGTCCCAACAGAAGCTTCTGGATCACAGTGCAGAGAGAATTCTGAATGAAGGTCCTGGGTGCTGGGGAACAAGCCGGGTGCTTCTGGTGGTCAGGGTGACCGTGCTTCGGCCTCCAGAGGTGGGGGTGGCCCGGGCTCCCGCAGTGCCCTTGGCAGGGGGTGGGGAGGGAGAATGTCAGTCTGCTAGCCCATCTGGAATTTTGTCAGCAGGCGGCCCAGGTCTTCTCTTGAGACACAACGTCCCGTCAGGACAGGCCACCCCGGTGACGGAGCACTCTGGGAATGGCAGGAGCTGTTTGGCTTGCAGGACTTCAGCGCCTTGGGGTCACGCAGAGGTCACCTTGTGCTGTCAGGCCCAGGCCCGATGGGGCTGCTCTGGACCCACCTGGCTGTGCTGCCCTTGTCCTGCCCCACCCCGAAGAGCTGCAGGTCAGACCTACCTCCTTCCGGGGTGGTGAACTCCTTGGTTTCACTGCGAGGCCCATCGCCTCTCCCATTGACCACAACCATCTCCAGCTTGTAGTTACTGTAGGGGAAGAGGCGGGACACCACGCCCCGGGGGCGGTCACCAGGGAAGCTGGCTTGCTGCCTCTTCTGAGACACCCACAGGTTCTTCAGCAAGCTGCTCTCCCTCCAGTAGTAGGCCTTCGGGACAGAGGCGGGCCGGTGAGGGGACGGGCAGGCGGAGCTGGGTTAGTTGTTAGTGCCCGTGGTGGTAACTGGTCTTCGCTTTGCTTGCCACAGGCTCCAAGTCCCGAATGCCCTCAGCAGCCCCGCCTAGGGCTGGGGGAGCGGCCCGAGAGGCCCCGTTCATTAGCCTCTAGCAAGGACCAACTGACGTCAAACAGGAAAACAGGGGCTTGCCTAGGCAAGTTGGCCAAAGTTACTGATGGAGCGGACACTTATTTCCAAGCTGGGGAACAAGGGTCCAGGCATGGAAAGCTCTCTTCTGGGCTCAAAGGCCACATCGCCTTGAGTTGGATTAGTATGGTTTAGATCGGCAGTAGGCAGGAGTTGAAAAGGAGCAGGTTACCCTGAGAAGTCTGAATAGGGGAGTTGATTTAATCCTTTGAAGTCAAATGGTTTCTTTTAAAATTGTTTGAAGACCTTTAGAATGGGCTAGACACATGTCCAGGTCAGTGGACACCAGGCTGCCTGGTGGCAAGAGCTTGGATGGGTTGGCCTTCAGAAGGTGGTGGTGTTAGGGGTAGAGTCGAGAGAGTTTGGGACACAAGGTACGGTTAGCAATATGTAAGAAGGCCCAGGTCAGGCTGCCATACCAGCGTCACCTGGGCCTCTCCAATGGCAAAGGAAGGCGGAAGTCCACACTTAAGAAGCGGACCCAGTGGGAGCTTTAGCCAGAAAAATCTCCAGGCAAGTAGGTTAAGGGTGCAAGTGCTGGGGAAGAGCTCATTCAAGTGTATACATCTTCTTGCCTTCCTTCCCCTACCTACCGAATTCACACCCTCAAAGAGACTGATCCCCTCCATTCTGCCCACAATTGTCCATCAGCCAACTCTCAATGACCTCTAAGTCATAGAACCTGCAGTATCCCATGCTTACAGCTGCCGTCACTTCCCAGACAAGTTTTAAATGAAGCTACGTGTAAGGGAGAGCCTAGAGTGGCCTGGTTTTCTCTCCCCCTTGCCTGTCTCAGCTCGCCCTTGCCAAGAGGAGAGATACATGAGCAGAAACTGCCTGCAGGCAGGGAGACCAGGAGAAGCCAAGGGCCTCGATAATCCATATGCCAGGTAATCCGGAGTTGGCTGCCAGGTAATCCGGAGTTGGCTGTGACAACAGGGAAGATGTTTACACCTTTTGGTGGCTCTGCCTGTTAGTGAAGGTTTCATGAAACCAGACTGGGTGAGGCAAGCAGCCCAGTGGGGGCCATTAAGAGAGGGGAGGGGTGTAGCTCAGTGGTGCCTCAACACTGCTCCTAAAATCCATGTGTGTCTGCTCACACATGTATTATGAGCATAACATGCCATATACAGCATCAACCCAAACCCACCACCCTCCGTGTGATTTTCTGCTGAGTAGAATCTCTCAGCATATCTGTTGCAGAACATACCTGGATATATACAAATAATTTTTTTTCTGGGTGTATTTTTGAACAACTAATACTAGACATCATCTTCTTGAATCTACTCTGGATCCAACAACTATCCCTAGGACCCCTTCCAAGTAGCCTGTGGCCCGCATCTGCTACCCCCTTGCCCTGGTTAGCAAGCTGGGTGGTTAGGCGGGGCTGAGAGCTGGTTTCCTCACTCGGTACTCTCTGAGTTGGCCCTGCACCGTGTCGGGGTAGACGCGGTTCCACTGAAGGCTGATGGCTGTGCTGTTCAGGACTCGGATTTTAACGTCAGTGGGTGCAGCCCTGGGATCTGCAATGTGTTGGGACAGAGAGCTAGTTAAGCAAGCGGGGCTGGCCCCTGGAGTCTAGGGTCTCCTCAGACTTGTTCTCTGCTGGCTGGTGCCTCCACCCCACTCTGGACACAGGGTACTCCATGAGGGCAGGGGCTAGGACTGTTCCAGGAGATTGCCCTCGGGGGGATGGGGGAAGGGCCGGACAAAAAGGCGGCCATCTGGGTGGGAGGGATCTGCCTACATGTTTAGAGGGCAATTATTTGCTATCCTCCCAGCTGGGTAGCCTCTGTTTGCCCTTCCATCCCATGTGCTACCCTTCTCCACCTGCTCTGTGTCCCAGCAGGCTGCCCTCTCTGGACTGTGTGGGCTGGCCCCCTGTTCACAGGCCCACGGATGGGTTTGCTCAATAGGTAAGGTCAACAGGAGGAGATGGAGGGTGGGTACCTAGTCCCTGGCCGCCTCTCTGTGGGGCTGCAGGTTGGAAGCATTGCACTTTGCTACCCAAGGTTCTACCCCTTGGTTGTGGGGACTCCCCCGTCTGCTGCCCCTTCAAGGCTCAGAATGTTACACTGGGGTCCTGCTGTTGTTAGCCCTCTGGGTGGTTTCTGATACCTTGCTGTTTTCCCTCGAACCCTGTCCTCACATTAGAGATAGTCCCCTTTGAGTGACACTCATTTTCCACCAGGACCCTGCAGAAAACATCAGCTACAAGCTGAAGATGCCCTAACCTCGTTCAGGAGGGGATTCTGATCCTTGACTCCCTGAAGAAGGAGACCCACTCCCTCCCCCAGAACGGATTCTCGCCTCCATTTTCTGCACTCTGCTGCAGAAGAATTCTGCCCCACCCCTCGCATCCAGCAGAGCACAGGCCCGGGGGGACGGCAGGTGCCACAGAAACTGTGGGCGGGTCCACGAAGTCCATGACTAGACACTGCTCATTCCATACTCACCAGCTGGTAGTTCCTGCCAGTCTCCTGTCTGGAAGTGTTTGCCACCACAAGACAAGGAGCAGGATGGACAGAGAGTCTGCTGATACTACCCACTTATTCGCCAGTGGGTCCAATCCATAATCACCTCCAGGAAAGCGGTGCATGGGGCCCACCCCTCACTTCTTCCCGTCTGTCATGCACAGCACGGGCCCTACTCTTAACCCCAGCATTGGCCTTTGCAACTCCCTAAGACTCTCCTCCTCCCTGCCTTCTGGTCACCCCATCCGCCTAAATGATCTTTTCTTGGGTCACCCTGACCGGGAAGAGCTCCACTGACCCTCCTGCTTCGCTCAGCAGCCTACTGATCGATGTGCTGGGAAGAGGGAGGCTGCCACCATCTTAAAAGCCAGGCAGATACTTCCACATATGTGCCCAGAATCTTGTTGATTTACCAAGGCTAGCCTCCAAAGAACTTCTCTTTGTGTGCTCAATTCCAAGGGTTAAGAGCAACACTGGGATGCCAGCAGGTAGCTGGTCTGGATCATTCCAGTCTGGGGCTCTTCTCTATTTCTCCAGGTCTCCCCCTGGGGAGCCAAGGAGGAGTCTGGCCTGTGGCCCTGCTTCCTGTGGAGGAGTCTAATTATGGCTCTTTGGGAGGGAGAGTCCTGAAGTCTTGGCACTAGCAAGGCTTGGCATTAAGGTAGATTAGAAGGCCTGGCCTCTGTTTTCAAGCATTGGGTAATATTGGCAAGGGTGTTCCTTTGCAGGGTCTCTGTTTTCACACCCGTAAAATGGGAGTATTGGACCAGGCGATGATTGTTCAGTAATTCTAACTAGCGTTCGGGTGATGACATTTTGGCTCCTGACATTATCAGGGGCCTGTTTGCCCGAGGTCACCATAGGGGATTTCTCTTTCCTGGGAACCGGGTGTCCTCCCAGGATGTTCTTGGCAGTCCCATGACCCACCCTGAGGTTCCTGGTCTGTGAGGCTGGCTTTGTGCAGCCCGGCTGTGAGGATCCTTGCTCGGGGACGGGGGAGGGTACTCACAATCTTCCCCGGAGTAACCGATGACAGTGTCTGGCTCAGGGCCCTTCCCAAAGTCATTTTCGGCCTGGACTCGGATCTCATAGGGCACATAGACGGGGGTCTGCCCCACCACGTAGCGGGAGCCCCATACTGTGACGTTGTTCCACGTCTCTCGAGTTTCTCTCCGCCGCCACTTGACGATGTAGCGCAGGTTGGGGCCAAAGGCGGAGGTGGCGTTCATGGGCTGAGCAGGGAGAGATTGAGGGCAGGGGTGGAGCCCAGACCCACCCACAGCCTGCACTCTCCTTCTGTGCCAGGCACCCTGCCCCGATCTGCCCAGCACTGGCCCCCTTGCGGCACTGGGAGAGCATGCCACCCTCACACTGAGTCCCCCGAAGCCCAGAGTCTTATGAATTCAGCAGCCTGTAGATTTTCTGTGACAAAGGCTTCACCCGAGACCTAGTCACTCTGACTCCCAGAGCCACCCACATTTGTAAGTGCACAGGGAGCCAAAGATTTATGTTCAACAGGACTTTCCTGTGACTGATCGGTAAGCAGAACAAAACAAGAAAATCATAGAATATTCTTTAACGTTGGAGAGGGATGAGTTTTGGTTTAGCCACAGCATGCTTACTGCCAATGAACTCAAAATTCCAGAACTGGCTTGGGTTCTACTGAATCCACACGTGACTGTCCTGTCCCGCCCAGCAGCTAAGGGTGGGTGCAACTCTGTTCTTCATTTCCTAAGGGCCTAGTCCAGGAAGCCGTCCTCTACAGAGCTGTAGACCAGGAGCAGGTCCTTGCAAGGTCCTGAAGATGAGCCCTGGTGTCTTGGATCTGGGCTCAGCCCAGCTACCCAGGCTGCTGTGAGACTGGGCCCTCAGAAAGATGGGGACAGCCATGATCCCACACGTTGTAGCTCCCTGCTTGTTACTCATGGCGACAGCACAGAAATGTTAATATTTCCATGGCTGAATGTGCATCTCTCAGACTTGGAATTGGTTTAGAAAAAAAGTCATTTTGAGACCACATATCCCAATTCTGGTTTGGAAAACAGTCAGTGAGCCCAGATGAAGATGGGAATTTTTTCAGTCCTGGCCCAGAGAGAAGCGTTTACATCCTCTCGTTCATTCCTGGACTAAAAGAAAGCCTGCACTCAAAGCAGCTCGAGTGCTGGTCTCCTCTCCACCCCCAACCATCTCCCGTGGGAGGACCCCAGAACACACCAACACTAGGCACCAGTGTTTAGGCTAAATCTTTTTTAGACCCCTCCTTCCCCTAGAGAAGTCCATTTTCGTTTGCTGGTACTCTCTGATTTTGCCAGACTAGCTGTCTATGTTCCTCGGTCATCTCTGCTCCCGTCTCCTGTCTGAAATCTTGCTCTTAGACAATGCTCCTGTTTTGTCCCTGGATGTCCAGTGCAGAGAGTAGCCTTGGGGCCTCAGAGGTGTAAAGAGCAAAAGGACTCCCAGGTGCTCAAGGCCAAGAGAGCGGGCCCATTGAGAGGTGGGCTGGGAGGGACCCTTACCGTCCACGTGATCTCCATGTTGTTCTTTCTGGTGCCTTCTCCTTTCACGTCGGCGGGATTGGACTCGGGGGCTGGAACCCAAGGGGATGCAAAGTTCAAGCCCGATGTGTGTTATGGGCACAGTGAGCAACTTCCCTCCCTTCTAGCTGACCAGCCCCTTCTGTGGCTCTTTCCTCAGCATCTCTCTGCACACTATCCCCTAGGCCACCGAACTCGTTCCGTGGTTTTCTCATGAGGAGGATGTGCCTTCCTAGCTAAGACCGAACTTTTCCCCCCTCCACCAAGCAGGGCTAATTTCTTTTGAATTTTAATCCCTCACTAGATAGCATTTATCATAAGGCTTTCCATACTTTGGGTGGTCCTGACAGCCAACTCAATGTGGATTAATTATCCCCTTCATGGATTATCCACTAAATAAGTTTAATACCAGACCGGTTTATCCCCAGCATTCAACATTTTGGGGGAGCAGCTCCACTCTCAATGGGCTGGTATATTTTCGGAAATCTAAACATTATCCAAGCGTGATAGGAAAAGAAATCTGCCATAACACCAGCTTATATATTTCTACTGCAAATCTTTGCCATAGCACTTCCCTTTAAAGCAAATGACCAAGAATTATTAAGGCTATTAGTAATAATAACCACAGTTAGCGTTGGCTGGGTGCTTACAATACGCCAGGCACCACGGGAGGTACCCAAACAGCACTTTCACACCCAAGCCTCCCGACAGCCCCGTGATGGAGGCGGTCTTGCTATCATTCCCTGTCTTACAGCTGAGGAAGCCCAGGCTTGGAGCGGTTAAGTGACCCGCCCACGCTCATGTGGCCAGGAACTGGGGGATCTCAGTGGGGCCTCGGGGCACCTGGCTTCAGCGCACTGGCCGTCAGCCCTCGGGTACTCACGCGCCCCGCTGGTCCGGTAGCGCTCGGAGGGGAGGCTGGGATGGCTGCTGCCCACCTCGTTGACGGCAATGACCCGGAACTGGTAGTTGACATATGGGGACAGCTGGAGGACGGCGGAGTTGACACTGCCCGGGAACTTGGAATGGTCATGCCAGACCCCGGGCTGGAACTGGTCCTCTTCAAACTGGACGACGTAGTCTGAGTGGGCAAGGAAGACAGCGCTGTTTGGGAGCTGAGGTAGCGGAGTTCTGCAGCGTACTCCCGCATGGTTGCCGCTAGTCTTTACACTCTCCCTTGGGTGGACAAAGGCATGGGGAGAAGTCCTCCCCGGACATGGAGAGGGGAACCAAGGCCTGCATGTGCTCTGCAAATAGCCCGGGGCACGCGTCAGGTGAGGTGGAAGCCGGACCAGAAACCGGGGCAAGGCCTCCGGCTGCTACCACAAACCAGGCTGCCATCCATCCCTCTTTTCTGGACTGGAGCGCAGGGCCCCTGGCTGACCTGTGATGGGGCTGTTGTTATCATCCCCTGGGATCCAGGTCAGCCTCACGCTCCTCTCGGCCAGGTCCGTGAGCTCCAGGTCCCGGGGTCGGTCTGGCCGTCCTGGGAGCAGAGGAAGAAGACACCACGCGGGACTCCCCAGTTAGAGCCAGCCTGTCCCTGTGCTGGCCCCAGCCTTGGACACTGCCCTATGACAGGTCCCTGACGGGCCGAGGTCAGCACCCGCAGGAACCAGCCCTGGCCTGCCTGGAAGGGTCAGCACAGGGACCACCCCATTCCCTCAGGGAGCCGAGGAAGAACAAAGAGGAGACTTCAACTTCCACCACCCCCAAAAAAGCATGAAAGGATGTAGGTAGGGCACAGAGAGAACCAGGACCAACCCATCCCATTTCTGTGGCTGTTCTTAGGGGGTGAGCATTTGGAAAACGCTGCCCTTTCCATGAGACCCATGCTTGCCACCTGTAGGGAGGCTGGTGAGGAAGTGCGGGATTTGGTCTCATCTTCTTGGGATGATTACCTTCTACTCTATGTGCCAAGGCTTCGAGGGGGCAGGAGCCCAGGGGCATGCTTGGAGCTGAGCAAGGCAGACCAGTTAGGAGCGTGGGAGGGATAGAGGCAGAGGACCAGGCCAGGGAGGGCATAGGGACTTAGAGTTTCAGCGATGGACAGCAGGATAGAGGAGCCCCAGCAAGCGTCCAAACAGGGCTGGGGCAGCACCTTCGGGGGCTCCAGTCTCACTGGACTTCCTCAGTGGGTGTAAGGGCCATCCTGGCCTGGGGATAAGGCCACCTCACCTCTGCCTAGTGGGGTACGTGGGATGTCTCCCCATCCCGGCTGCTTGAGCCAGTTATTTCGGTACTCTGGCTGGCTACTGGGAGGATCTGGAAGGTGGGTCATGTGAGCCCACATTTGTGTATGTGTGCACGCGTGTGAATGCAGACTGTGAAGGGGTGTGCAGCAGCAGACTCGGGGAGGCTGCAAACCAGACGGGCCTACAGGTAATCGGAAGTGAGTGGGCTTTCCCGACTGGACCTCCATATTTCTGAGGCCAACGCTGGGGAGAGAGAACAGGCCCCCACAAGGAAGTGGTGAGTGCGGCCAGAAGTAAGGGATGGGATGGATCGGCAGCCGAGGACTTCCGAGCCCAGCCTATGAAAGGCGCAGGAAGCCCGAGGGGGGCTGTGGCAGGGCTGCGAGGTGAGGGGCGCGACCCTTGAAAGGAATCGGATTTGGCAGCGAGTGGCCTCCACACAGTACATCCTGTCCTGCAGCGCCTTCCTCCTCAGACCCCACCCCCCCAGCCACCTAGAGAGGGCTTTGGCAGGGGTCCTGTGATTAGTATGAGTTACCTTTGGGCAGGGCAGCCAAGCGGTTAGTTGGAGTGGCCTGATCAGCTGCAAGGTAAGACGGGTTATCCAGGTTAGCAAGTTATCCAGGGTCACAGGTGTTCTAGAAGGATGGGAGTAGGTGGCCGAGGGTTGAACCGCTGCCCTGAGCAGAGGTGTACTGGGCACAGCTTCACCTTTGCTTCCATGGAGAAACCCCCTGTGCTTCCTCCACGGCTGGTGGGGTGGAGGGGGGGACTTGTCTCCTTCCCATGCCAGTGCCACTGTGTGCCTGGGACCGCCATCCCCAGTGACCATGCGCTGCTGCCACCAGAGAGGTGGAGTGTCCCAGCGGTAAAGGCAACAGGATGCCCAGGGAGAGGACAGAGGCGAGGAGGGCACGGCAGGGGTCGCGTCCCTGGGTGGGCAGGACTACCCTCCCCTGGCGCTGGGATGGCTCCGTATTTACAGTCTGCCTTAGACACGGGCAGGACAGGATGGAATCAGTTTGCTCAGTGCAGAGCGCCCTACAAAATCCCATCAGGAAACAGGAGCGGGGTGGCAGGGAGAGGGCGGCTGGCAGAGGGTGCTGGCGGGACAAACTCAAAATGCAGTCTTGCTTCAACAATGGGTTCTTTTAACTGGTGCAGAGGTCAAAACGATCACAAGAAGAAACCCCGTCCACCTTCCCTCTCTCGTTCACCCATCCGTGGAGGATTTGGGCAAGTCAGTGGTTCCACTCAGAGGCGAGGTGCCTGGCTCGGCTTGCTCGGAAAGGAGCGGCTTCCTAACCCTTAGATAGAAGGGCGGAGATCACCATGGCTGCCCAGCCTGCTGGCTGCAGGCGATGGCCTGGGACCTGTCCAGGGCCCGCGGCTCCTCTGGCCTCGGGAAGGGGTGGGGTGGGGGGAGGTCAGAGCGCGCGGGAGCGGCGGCAGTTACCTAACACAGTAAGGTGGGCCTTGGCCAGGTCCTGGTCCAGCTCAGTGCTGGCGATGCAGGTGTAACTGCCCTGGTCCCGCTCGGCCACACCGAAGATGGTCAGGGAGTCGTCTTCCTTCTTCATCCTGCAAGGGCACCAGGGAGGGGTTGGCAGGAGGGCGAGTGGGCCGACAGCGGGGGGGTGGGGGAGTGCCCTGGGCACTGCCTGCTTTCTCCCTGGAGTGGGGGGCAAGTGAGAAGGCAGCCACAGCCCCTAGCAGGGGCCACGAGGCTCTGCCCCAGTGCTTTGAGAGAGTCCTGGTCTTCACCGCTACGGTGTCCCTCCTCTTCCCCTGCTTCCAGCTCCCCCTTCAGCCCAGGCCAGTCTGTGCACCCAGGCTCAGGCCAGATGTCCCGGGCTCCTTTGAACTGTCTCCTGTGGAGGGGGGTGGGCACCACCGAGCAGGGTGGGCTGCGAAAGCTGCGGGTACCCACTGAGTGCAAGGATGCCTGCACCTGCCTGCAGGGTGCACCCCTGGAAAAGCCAGATGAGCGTGCAAACAGCTGCTCCCTATGCCAACCTCAGGGCCCTGCACCACCAGCCCCCGAGATGTGAGGGGCTACGACAAAGGAGCCCTGCGGAGGGAAAGGCTCGGGCCAGCCCTCCCCATCCCTGACTGCACATTAGAGACACCTGTCGGGACTTTTAGACACCATAGGTGCCTCCCCTCCCCCCACATCACTTAAATCTGGACAAGGGAGGCCGGTGTGGTCTAGTAAAAGCGTCCCAGGTGCCTCAGCTGAGATGCCCCACTAACACCCTGGTGGCCGGCAGCTTGGATCGGCTCTGCCCTCTGCTGGAGAACAGAGGCACTGCAAGCGGGGCTGAGGCCGGAGCGCCAAGGGGACCCCGCAGCAGAAGAGGAAGGGAGGAGGAAAAGGGGTGAGGGGAGACGGGAGAGAAGTGAGGGAAGAGAGAAAGGAGTGGGAAAAAGAGGAGAGGGAGAAGAAGAGAAGGAGAGAGGCAGAGAGCACGCAGGGTGGGGGAGCCGCTGGGTGCCGCCGCCTGCTCCGCAGCAGTTCCTGGGGGACACGCGTGATGCAGGCTTCCAGTCCCCGGGTTCCTTCAGTGTGTCACCGAGGACAAGGGGGAAGAAAACGGGCCCAGACTCGCGCCCGGAAGAGAGAAGGAAGGAGCGGAAACCTGTTTCCAATGTAGAGAGGCTCGTCGTCCTTCAGCCAGGAGACTGTGAGCTTCAGGGAGGGGTCGTGCTTCACCCGACACTCCAGCTGCACTGTGGTGCCCCTTTTGGCCACCTGGTCCTCAGGCATCCGGTAGATCCTGGTGGGGTCTGTGGAGAAGCCGAGGGAGCTCATCACTGGCATGGCCTCTGCCACCACCCGACGGGGCCACATGGCACGACGCCCATTAGACGGGCCACGGAAGGTGGCAGAAATAACGTTCAGTTATATAAATGGTGGCGGGGCGGGTGTGGGCGATTCCAAGGAGGAAACAATCCCCAAGTCCTTTCTCTCTGGCTTGGGAATCTATGATGTCCTTCCTAGGCTGGTAGTGGGGTGTGGGTGGGGTCTCAGACTTCCCTTTCTAATCCCACGTGGACCGGGCTCAACAGGACCTCGTGCTCCCAGCACCCAGGCTAGCTGGAAGCCCTGTGAGGAAATGGAGGCCCACGGGGAGGGCCCCACTAGCGGAGCATTTTCAAAGGGAATGGCACGCAGGAATCACCTTGAGGAGATGGCTTCCTTGGCTGTCCCACCCCGCACTCTCCCTGCGAAACTCTCCTTTACCTTTGACCTCCAGGCGGACCTGGTTTTCAGCTTTGCCCAGGATGTTGGTGGCGACACAGGTGTAGATGCCTTGGTCCTCTTTGCGGATCATCTTGATTTCCAGGCTGCCGTTCTCGTAGACGTGGTAGTTACCACCATCCAGGTTACTTCCCTGCCCGTTCTTAAACCTCACAACAGAGCAGCGGAACACACAGCACACTGAGAGAGGACCGGCCCCCTCGAGCAGGGGTCTGCCTCCCACTGCTGGGTGGCCCTGGCAAGTCTCTGGCCCTCTCTGGGCTTCAGTTTTCGTCTCTGCACAATAAGGGGGCTGACCTCGATGATCGGGCAACTTTCTCCCAGATTCGACCCTATAAGGTTACCTGGTCTTGCTGAATACCTATTTTGGGCCGGAGGGGAATGAGGACTCCCGGGGGTGGGGCTGGTCTCCTGGAACTTACCATCGGAGTGTGGGGATGGGGGACCCAAAGAACGGGCAGTCAAGCCGTGTCCGGTTGTACAGGATCACCCTAATGAGCTGGTTCCGGGGTGATAGCATCCGGGGCGGCACGTCTGCAATTCCCGGAGAACGGACCTTGGCTGGGGGGCCTACCTCCTCCAGTGCCCCCCTACCCCGGCCGGGTCTTCCACGTGCCCTGGCAGCACAGCAGCTTTCCAAGCGCCCCGTCCCTTCCCCCAACAACCTCCCTCCTTTAAGAAGCCTCCCAGGGTGAGGGGAGGGAAGAGGAAGCTCACCTGTCTGCCCTCAACCTACCCTACGTGCAATCCAGCTTTTGCAAAGGGTCTCCCCGGATTACCTAGCAGGTTCTGAAACTGCCCCTCCACAACCCCAAGGCATCTCCAAGCTGCCCCCGCCCTCTCCCTGATCTAGGAGTGACCCTAGTACTCAGAACCACTTCCTACCCTAGGGCCACAGAGAACGCAGGCAGAGTTGGCCTGGATATGCGGAGGGGGTGAGACAGGCCCCTCCCCCTCATCTGGAGACATGATCCAACATGGAACTAACCGTCTGCACACCCAGCTCCATGGATCTGAAGTTCCCTACCCTCCCCGGCAAATTCATCTTCAGTCTCCATGCTTCCTCCATCCCACGCTCTCCTACCCCTCCCAGCCTGGCTGACCTCCCCACGACAGGAGCAAGCCCCAGGGCTCACCGAGCACGCTGACGAAGGCGTTGGCCAGCAGGTAGCCATGCTCGTTGGAGGTGTTGCACTGGTACACAGCCCTGCTGCTGATCTGGGTGTCCCGGAAGATGATGGTGTCCCCAGCCACCTCGCGGTTTGGGTTGGGTGGTGCCGCTACAGACAGGAAAGACGCTCCTTGTGAGAAATGGGCAGGGCAGGGCAGAGGGCACTTGGGGCTCTGGCCAGGGCTCCCTAAGACAACTGGGGTGCTGTGGAAGCAGCCGCCCTGGGTGGCTCCCAGGAGACCTGGCTTCTGGCTCTACTGCTGCCCAGCTGTGTGGCTTCAGGCCCATCATCAAACCTACCGGAGTTTGTTTCTCAGTCTGTCCAATGGGACTGTGAGTTCCTGCTGGACCTACGTAACAGACGGGCAGATGTGGTTGAGAGCATAAGCCGTGGAAACAGAAAGGGGTTTGAATTCCAACCACATCACCTGCCAGGGTCATTCAGTTCCTCTGAATTCCAGCATCCTTGTATGCAGAATGGGGATGACATATCACTTTGCAGGGTTCTTATGAGGATAACCTGAGATTTTAATGCATGTCTAAAGTCATCAGCAGAGGCCCGGCACACGCTGATTACTACTGTTGTTATTATTTTAATCGACTGTGCCTATACTTAAAGGTTTTGAAAAGGACAAAGGAATATACGACTGGATGAGACCTACCACCTTCTCATCCTCAGAGCAGAGCATTCTTCAAACATTCACAGAGTGAGACCCATAAGCCAATGCCTGTTGAGACTGAATGAGTCCTTAAATTTGCCAAAGCTACCTGATCACCCCAAGAGATGTGTCCTAAACTGAAAGAGAATATTTCCTCCCGCAGCTCTCCCGGCATGGATGGCTTGGGATGCAGAGAGCGGAGGCTGGAGAGTGGCCATGGGGTCTCAGTCCTGTTCACACGTCAATCTGGGACTGGGACAAATCAGTAAATCTGGGTCTCATTTCCCTCGTCTGTCAAGTGGGGGACAATTACTCCCATCCTTCTCCCAGTCCGAGGAGCTTTATTAAAAGAACGACAACGAGCGGTATAAATAAAGTTTTCTAGAAATGTAAAGAATTGCCACTTTTTTCATCTTTCACTGGAAGGTGACTTTCCTCTGTAAGGTTTCTGGACTGAGCCAGGTGACTTGGTTTGGATGGTCTGTGAACACATCCAGGATCGCTCAGACCAATAGCAGCGGTGGGCAGAGGACCACCTTGGGTCTGGTCCCCGAGGCGCCACTCCACAGATAGCAAGTTTGAGCCCGGAACTGGGCAATCAGCAGGAGGTAAATGAAGATGAGGGCAGCATCCTTATCACCCGTCCCCAAGTCCCCACTCAGCAAAAAGGCATGAAGAAGTCCGCGCCAGCAACTTCAATGCCTCCTTCCCTGGCAATTCTCATGGAGCCAACTTTCTTCTCGGCCACTCCCCTAAAGTGACAGGTGATCTTTCCAGGGCCAAGGCTCAGCTGCAAGTCCTGAGCTCTGCATTTATTCAGTGGTGCTGTGGAGTCTGGGCCTTTGTCGGCCTTGTTCCCAAAGTGCTGTCGGGACAGGGAGAACAGCAGAGGGCAGGCAATGTCCCTATCTCTGCTTGTGCCCAGGGCAAGGACACGGACTGGGAGGGAGACCGTGCAGGTGTATGGTATTCTCACAGAGACCCACAAGGACATTTTATAAAGTAAATGCAACCAGAGAGACTATGATGGGAAAACCTGACTGAGACCCCTGGCCAGAAGGGGCCCTGGAGTCACCTACTCCAGCCAGAGGGCAGGACTCAATTTCCCCAAATCTGGGCATACCCAGTAACTGCATCAGTGCATCTCTGCTCTCATGGGGGAAGTTCTTCCTGCTATCCAGCCTGGCTCTCATTTTGCCCTCAGCAGAGAGTGGGGCCTGGGTTACTGAGCTCTGCTCTACCTTCCACGCCCCACCCCCACTCAGAGGCCAGCTCTTCACAGACCTTGAACTGAGCTGTGTGGTTGTTTAGGGCAGAAAGCAAGATTCAAGAAAAACCCAAGGGGGGCGCCTGGGTGGCTCAGTTGGTTAAGCGACTGCCTTCGGCTCAGGTCATGATCCTGGAGTCCTGGGATCGAGTCCCACATCGGGCTCCCTGCTCGGCGGGGAGTCTGCTTCTCCCTCTGACCCTCTTCCCTCTCGTGCTCTCTATCTCTCATTCTCTCTCTCTCTCAAATAAATAAATAAAATCTTAAAAAAAAAAAAAAAAAAGAAAAAGAAAAACCCAAGGGAGTTTTATGCTCCCTAAATATGGGAACATAAGCACAGATTTCCTGTTCTCACACACAAATGAGGCAGGTTTCCTGCCTCTTGAGATGTCCAAAGAGTTGGGCTGCTCCAGAAGCAGTGGCCAAGGGGCTATTCTTTAACCTCATTCTGGTACAACTGGGGCTGGCCCATAGGGATGGGGATCTGGAGCCTCTGACAGGAGACGCAGCAGAGTCAGGTGGGACAATGGCTTGTTACTTACATTGCAGAGGTTCCCCATTTACCATCCACTGGACAGTGGGCTTGGGGTTCCCATTGGCTCGACACACCAGTCTCCCGTCCTCGCCAGGAGCCAGGATAAGGTTCTTGGGTTCGTCCAGCCAGTAGGGAGCAGCTGGAAGACAAGCAGAGCGCAGGCAGCCGAGTTAGATGCCTCGGGGCAGGCAGGAGACAGCAGACCGGCTCCTGCTAGGAAGGCAGCAGCCCCTGAGTGCCAGCTCCAGGCCCTCACCAGCTGCCCAGGGGTCATCCTCGCGGGATGACTCCATCCAGCCTGCCTTTGGCTGGCTTGGCACCACAGAGGCTGCCCGCTCTATTTCGAGTTCACAGAACAATAGTTCTAAACTGGGGCTGCTCGTTAGACTCCTCTGAAGAGCTTTTAACAAACATGGACACTGGGGCCTGTCTTAGGCCTACTAAGTCAGAATTCTCAGGGGAGGCTGGAGCAGTGGATGCTTTTAGAGCCCCACAGGTGTCCACGATGGGCACCCAAAGGCAACAGCTGAGGCAGTTGGTAAAGAGCACCCGGGGCTGGCCCCTCTGTATTCCATTGCTATTGCTGTGACATCAGACCATTGAGAAAAAGGCCTCATAGTCATTCTTAGGCATTGGGCTTTGGTTAGAGCAGAGCTGGCTATCCCTTCCAATTGTGAATATGTGGATATGTGGATTTTTTTTTTCCCGAGAAGTTCCTGTGGATCAGATTCTCAAAGATCTTGATACCCCCAAAAGGGTTAAGAACCCCTGGTTTGAGTGTAGTGCTGAAACCAAAGTCATAAGGTCAACGGAGCGTGCGCTTCAAAAGTTCTTGCACTCTTGGTATCAGACCTCATCGTCCCCATCATCTGGTCAGCCCCAGGCTGAGAAGGGACAGGTGTACCCCACCACCCGCGGCCGGGACCCATAACGGCACGTGCTCTATTGCAGGCAACAGCTCACATGGGCCATCTGAGCTGCAGAGGGAGGGAAGTGATTTTTTAAAAAAATAATTTGTGCTATGATAACTCCCCATTTTTAAGAAAGAACCATGCACAAGTACACAGACAGGACAGGGCTAAGACGACACACTGTGAACGGGAATGCAAAATGAAGGAAAGGTGCTGCATGAAATCCGAATGGCCCACGGGGGTACATTCACCTGCGGAGGGAGCCTCAGGCACCACAGAGAGGTGGGGGATGGTCAGGGTGGATCTCTCCTTCCCCTCATACCCAGAGTGCGCGCGCGTGCACACACACCCACGCATGCACACACACACACTCACATCCAGAGGGTGACACTATCCCTGGCAGGTCACCATGGCCACTAACCCATGTGTTATCGGCTCTCCCCTACTCCCCCCGCCCCTCCCCCACCCGCAGAGGGAAAGGTGGTCGTGGCGTGTAGGGCTGGCAAAATCATCATAATGAGAAATACACACAACGTACCCTTTACTCTCACCGAGATCGTGTGCCGGATGCTGCCCATCTTGTTGGAGGCCAGGCAGAAATACTCCCCAGAGTCTTCCTCAGAGACGTTGGTGATACGGAGAGCCTTGTTAAAGTTCTCAAACTTGGCCTTGTCAGAGGGGAGGTCCCCACCCTTCTTGTACCACGCGATGTCTGGTGTTGGGCTGGGAGAGAGACCGAGCAGGAAACAGGGATTAGCACCAACTGCAGCCCTGCTCTTCTTCTACAGAGCCCGGGACACCCGGGCGTCCTTGAAGTGTATGTGCAACCAGAAGGACGCACGTCCTCTGAGAGAGGCCCTCTCCTGTACAGAGGGGATGCTTGGCCATAGAGCCCCGAGGAGCTGCTGTAAAGTCACACGGGGTGTGAACACACGTGCGGGACGCCTACCTGTCTCCCTTCCTGGTCCGTTACCCATAAAAGAGACAGCCAGAGTGGGATGGGAATGATGATGCTTTGCAAAGGCCTTGCTAGAGGCTGTCTGTGTCTCTTTTTGCCTCCCCACACTGTGGCAAGAAGAGAGCCTGCGCAAATTCCCAGCCCCGTCCTCCTGGGGAGGGACCAGAGTGGGGGTGCAAGCTGTACGTACACCCCGGAGGCGATGCACTCCAGCAAGAGATCCATGCCACGCAGCACCATCTGACTGCTCGCCGTGCCCTGGGGATACATGAAGCTGGGTGTTCTTTCTGCAACTCCTCGTGCTGAAATAGGATAGAAGACGCTCTCATGAGCCTCCTGCCCAGAGCTGACCCAGCTAGGCCCAAGCAGTCAAGCTAGGAAGAAGTGTCATCACACCCCCTACTTAGCCCCTTACCCTCAGAGTCTCCAAGTTCCAGACCCTCCCAGCTGAAACCGCCCCCCCCCCCAAGGGCCAGGGCATCATTAAGAGAGGCATGTTAGGAAGCGCGGGGCTCCCCGGCCCCATTGGCACATGTGTGTGAGCAGCTCTAAGATCTGAAAGGATCTGCCAAGAGGAGCCCAGCTTCCTGCCCGGTTCAGTAAACCCCACCTTCCTGGGAAAGGCGGAGGGGGTTGTCTGAGCAGTGAGCAGTTTACTCCCTGAGCATCTTGTGCTGGGACCCCAGAGACCAATGTGGTGGCCCCCTGGGAGGCCGTCTCAGCAGCAGTGGATGAATGAGAAGGCACGTACCGGGGCCACAGGACAGACAACCTGCTCTTTGGGACCCTGGAGACAAGGAGCTGGGATGAAGCCACAGAGACCCAGATGAACAGTCAGAGATGCAGGCAACATTATTAATGGTTTAGCAAAGACATGGAGAGAATGAATGAGCAGAGATGACAGGAAATCACTCTGGGGCCAAGAGCATTCTGCTTCTTCACTAATGACTCTGGAAGGGGGCTGGGAGGAGGGTGTTAATTGGATGTGAGAGACTGGGGGAGGGGGAGTGGAAAGTGGCAGCCGAGATGGGGGAGGTGATCTACAATTCAACTAGGCTGGAGCAGCCACGTCCACAAACAGTGCCATGCACTCAGGGTTTTGAAGGCCAGGTGGCTCACAGAGGTCAACACGGCCAGGGTGGCTGTTTGGCTGTGGACGGGGTCATGCAAGTCTGGGCACACCCCCAGCACGGCGGACCCCACCTTACCTGCGCCTCACCTCTCCTGGGGAGCTCTTTGCACAGTTCTATGGACATGGGTAAGGCGGAAGGGAGAAGAGCAGAGGTTTTCCAACCAGGAACCCCAAAGCAAAGGGAAGCTGGAGGAGACACCCCTGCCCAAAGGTGTAGGGTTATGAACAAGAAGAGTTAAAGCTAGAAGCTGAGTCTACCCAGGGGTGCAGTGGGTCTTAGGCTCAGTTGGAGAAGCGAGAGGAGGAAGGCAGGCAGAGCTGCCAGGAGCTGGGAGCCGTCAGAGATGACTGGAGTGGGGACAAAGGCATCTTCCCGGCTGGGGGCCATTAACGGGTCCTGGCGGTGAGGACAGGGTGGCAGGGGAACTCTTGTCTCTGTGACACTGGTGTCTCCTAAAAGAGCTTGTTGAATAGGCTGGTGCCTGGCTGGATCAGCAGGGCTCCTGTCTCAGAGGCACTCAGCTTCTCTCCATTAGCCATCGGGGAGTGCGTTTCATAGAGCTGGGGTCTATTTTATGCTTTTGTCAGGGGAAGAAATGATGAGACGTACGCGGAGTTAGTGAGGCGGCTGGCACAATGCGTGGCACATACAGCAAGCGTTCCATAAGTGTTGTGGGATGAATGAATTCAAGGGGAGAAGGGAACAAAAAAGAAGGTGAAAGTATACCCCATGTGTTATTTCTCTTTCTGTAGATGTCCTCATGTGTCCCACCAGCACACACATATACAACAGTGGCTACTGACCGGGTTAATCCATTATGTGGTTAATCGGTTACCGTCTATGACCCTCGTAGCAGCCAGCTCTCAGTACCAAGGAAGCCTGATACCAAAGCAGCAGCTTCCTCCCACCCGTTATCATGGAATCACCAAAACAGTCCAGACAACACAAGGTCAAGGGAACTATGAGGAGAAGGGTATTTCAGGGCAGGAGGCTCTGGTGTTAGGCTGGTGACTCTGAATGAGTGCTGGGAACGCTGGGACTACATGGAAGAGGTCCCAGCTCAGCTGGCATACTCCTTCCACGAAGTGATGGAATCTGCAGAAACCAACCTGCGACCCCATGGACATTTAATTCACACCATAGCAGGCAGCAGCGCGAGCACACTTGACCAGCAAAGCACCAAGTATGGGAAGGAGGAGAAACGAGCTGAGTCTCGCTGTGGGGGCCTTGACATGCTGTCGCTGTGACTATAAAAAGGTTACAGCAATACTTCACTTGTAGGATGTGGGCTAGCAACCATAGAATTATCCCAAAGGAAGAGAAGCTACTGGGAAACAAGCCAAAGTTCAAAAATATAGGGAAGAGCATCCTAAAAGTCAGAGGTAATAATCAGGGCCACCATTTGGTGGGCATTCATGAGGGGCCAAGCCTGTGCTATAGCCCTCTCTAGATATCATAGTCATGCTTAATCCTCACAACAAACCTTCGGGGTACCACCTCCATTTTCAGCAGAGGGAACTGAGGCTCAAAGAAATCCATAGACTTGGCAAGGTCACAGGCCAGTTATGTTTTGGATTCTGGACCATTTGGCACCAAAGCGTGTACTCTGATAGTTATACTATCTCCCCTCTTTAAATATGGCTACCCCATCTGTCCCTCCTTCTGACAGTCAGCTTTGGGAGTATCAAACCAAAGAAAACCCAAATCCAAGGGTAAAAGAGGTGAAGGAAAAAGACGTAGTATCTTGTTGAGCTGCTCTGGTGAACCTCTTCCACTCGGCTAAGATCCCATCCCTCCTTGGTTTCTAAGGCCCAAGCTGGAGAGAGAAGCTGGGCTAGGAATTAAGAGGTTCCAAAGGCATTTCAACTGGATTCTTAAGGCCATGGAAAGCTTGAAGAGGAGTCAGGGTGACACGTGGTTTCATTAAGGGATGAGAAGCTGAACCCAAAGGGGAGGTTATGAAGAACTGTGGTCAGCTGCAGCAGGAGGGATTTACATGAAAATTGATGAAGGACAATCCAGCTGGTGGCTTTGGGGGCCACTGCTCCCAAGGGAAGGTGGCTGATTTCTTTCCCTGGAGAAGGAGACCCAGGAAGAATCTCTAAGACAAAGGTGATTACTCTCTAGGACTGTGCATGGTAGAGGATGACAGTCTCCTAGGGTCATACGATCTCACCACCCTCTTAGAGATGGGGGTTCAGCCTGGCCAGCCTCATGATGCTGCTCTTATTCTCCCTGATCTTCAGGGCTGAGGTTGGACCTAATATTGGATCAAACTCCGAGCCCTGATACCAAAGCTCACGTCGGTGGATTCAGAAAGAGCTTCCCACGTGGGCCCCTCTGACCTCTAGCCCAAGGACTGTCTGTCCTTTCCTGCTCTCCCTGGCTCATGAGTGGGATCATGGGTTTCCAGGGGAATCTGGGCAGCAGGGAGACATCAAGATATGACACTGCCTCAGCCACCTTAGCTTTAAAGGGCCAATGAAAAAATGTCTTAATCAACTCCTATGAGAGGAAAGGTCAAGATTGCCGAAAACCTGAGTTGCTCCCCTCTGTTAAGCACTGTAGGTTAGCGGAAGAGAGTCCAATCCATCAGATGTATCTGAGAACCTTTGCCAAACACAGCTTTTAGGGGCAGCTGGATCCCACATTTGCTGCTTTCCATTCTCAGAATAAGAACTGGGGTTGGATCTGTGGCATTTCATCCACCTCTCTGGCTCCAGGAATGGCTGACCAAACAATCCCAGAATACAAGAAAAACTCTCTGCCTAGTACCGTTTGATACCCTCCACTGTCAGGAAATCTCTTCCATAAGTCTAACCCCAATCCCTCATGCAATAGTTGGAGCTTTTTCTGATCCAGGTCTCAGCAGAGCTGAGGATCTGAATAGCTTTCATTTTTCTAATCTGCCCTAAAATCCCTCTCTTCATAGTACTTTCTTCCCATAGTGGTGCTTGCTGAACCCCTTGGCTTCTCTTCAAGTTCTCTGTGTCCATCTTAACTTCCGTCAACACTAAACCATTCCCTTCAATACCAATACTGTAGTAACACGTACTAATCATTGATGTGTCTGACACCATGTTAGCGACCAGATGCACATTATCCTGGTTATTCTTCATGACAACACTACGGGGCAGGTCACATACCTATTTTACAGATGAGGAGATTAAGGTTTTCACACACTAAATGACTTGCCCAAGGTCACTCAGACGCCTGTATTTAATTCGAGGCTATCTACCTCAGAGTGCCCACTCTTCTCTTCCTTGTCTCCTTGCTGGGTGAATTCTACGTGGCAAGCTACAATCTCAGACCAGCTGCCCCCTGCCACTCAGCAGGTGAGGGGACATCTGGCATAGGTTCAAAGGATACTAAACCACCGGAGAAATCACTAGAACAAAGTGTAGTTATGGGGTGGCCCTACTGCCACAAGAGACGTGCCATATTTCAAAGCCAAGCAGACAGATGCACTGGGCATTTTTCACTGCCTTGTGTCTCACTGTCCAGCCCCGTACTCAGGAAGGACCTTATCTTCCTTCCTTCTCACTTTCTGTTTCTCTCTAGAAGCATTCAACCTAGCTGTCCTTTGTTCAGCATGTGTCTCACTTTGACTTTATATCCCTTCCAGCTGGCTTCATGCTTGGGTCAGCCCCATTCATTCTACCCTGGATTGAGGAGAAGGGGTCGATCTCCATGTGAGTTCTTGTGAGCTTTGCGGGGTTTTATAGCCCTGGATGGTTCTTAGAACTCCCACTCATTCACTTGTAATCACATCTACCACTGGCCACAAAGTTTAAGTGGCTGGAATCACTCAAACTTATCCCACTGAGAAAACAATTCTACATGCATGTTCCCCTCAATGGTTTATCTAACACAAAGGAGGCGCTTGGACCAGACGGTCTCTACGGGATCTTCTGGCTCTGATATACTCTAGCTTCAAGAATACTTCCATAATAGATTACCTGAAATCCAATTTAGAGAAAGGCACATTCCACACCAACGCTCTGGGGCTCTTGACATAGTGGTGGTTGGCCCCATTATTTTGAAAACAAACAACGCCCCCGAATCCAACAAAGATCCCCTGCCTCCTTGGGCAGTAAATCTCTTTGGCATAATCTCAGTGTGGCTCTAGGGGCTTGATGCCAAGTTAGAGCCTTTGCCTCTCTCTGGGGCTCTCCCTCCCTCTTCCCTTCCCCCACCCCAGACACCAATCATTGTTTATATTAGCACATCACAATGCAGACACTTCCTATCTATTGGAGGCCACAATGCTGGCCCTGGGGACCTGCAGCCTCAGCTTCCGAGGCATAACTGATGATGGGGGCCAGCTGCCTCGCCAAAGCCAGCAAATGACTGTTTCCTCTGGCTGCTCAAGGAAAACAAGACATTCTTGAGCCATGGTGGGGGGGCAGGGACTCAGGTGTGGAAATAGCCAATTACTCTACTCATCAGCTGAGCAACCAGTTGTGCGATGAGTTAGAAATATGCCTCACGGAAACTGTTCCAAGTGTGTGGACAGCTGGGCACTGGATTTGCACACGCTGCGGGAGGAGAGAAGCAGCCCAGGCAACAGAGACCAGGCATGGCCCACCTGCATTTATACTTACCTTCAAAGAGAACTCAGAGCTGGACTCTTACTCATTTTTCCCAGAAGGATTTTAAAGAGACATGGGGCCGGTGAAATGGTACCCTCAGTAACTAAGCCTAGATTACAAGGTAGGCAGGTCACATCCAGACATGTACAGGTTAACTAACTATATCACAAAGCTCTCTGCGTCCTTTAAACCGCTAACAGGAACGAGACTCCCTGTTTCCTCCTCATTGTGCAGACTCCCTTCTCCTCGGATATTCTCCATCCATCCACCACAGATTCCTACGTTTCTACAGGACCCTCCAAGAGGCTCTTTCGGAGTCCTACCCTGGTCTGACCAACCTGTCCAGATTTCAGCAACTGGCGGCTTGCATGTTCCCAGAAACCGGAGCACCACGTGAGTTACCTCAAACTCCCACACTGGCCACACCGTCCTCCCAGAGAGCAGTGTCCGGAAGGGGGCCTCTTGGCACCCTGGTCTGGCCGACTGTCAGCCCTGCCACCCAGCATGAGTTAATGAGACACGGTATCAGTCAAGTTAGGCAAACTGGGGTTAGGACAGGCAAGGTTACTCCCAAGGTTACCGCGGCGACTCACCACTATACATGTCAGGGTGGTTTCTTAAGGACGAGTCATTATAGGGGTTGTCTGCAATAAACAAAAGAGGGTGAGCAAACAGGAGGCCACGGACAGCTCATGGAGGCATAAACAGGGAGAGAACAACAGAAATGCAAAGCCGCAGAAAACAACCGGGGATTTTGCAAAGGAAAGACACAGCATATTTGGAAAGGAAATGGGCTTGGTGAAGAACAAGCAACATAAAACAGCCCAAAAAAGGGAAGAAAAGGTTAAATCCTGCAAAAAAAGGCAATAATAAAAGAAATTTCTTTTTAATGAAAGAAATTAGGCTTGACCTTTAATGGCTTGATCCTACTGTATTTCAAACAAATGAGATAAGGATTAGTGGCATCCCGTAGCCGTCTTTTGAACAACTTCCCATCAAAATCCTCAGTTCCCAGGACTCTGGATCAGGCCAGCTCCCAGGGCAGCTAAAGAGAAAGGAGTGTGAGTGAGCCCTGAGAAAAAGTGCAAAGCCCTCCCTGGGCAGAAGCTAAGGTGCAAAGGTGGGAGGTCAGTGAGAGAAGACAGTCCAAGAGATATAGTTCATCAGCTGAGAGAGAGGGACAGAGGGACCCTTGGCAAGCACCCCCGCCCCCCCACCTGACCAGCGGGCACCACCCTGGTCTCTGAGATGTCTCTGGTGGCAGAAAGTCCTCCTTCCGAGGAGGTCGGGAGTGCTCCAGGGAGGCAGATAGAACCAGGCTGCGGTTCAGATTTTCGGAACAGAAACAGAAACAGAAAGGGAGCCTGGGACAGGAGAGAAAGAGCATATGGACTAAGCTGGAGATTCAGAGCTCCTAGACTGGCTTGGGCTGAAGTCATTCCTTAAGTAGCAGACCGGTGCCTTTGGTTCCAATGTTAGGTAATTAAGACTGCTGGGCATTTAATCCTCAGTGAAAGACGTTTTGGAATAGGGCACTTAAGCGCGCCAAGGCTAGGCTTTTCATTCTACCGCCAGCCGCGTCCAGCTACTGGGTTCAAGTTTTGACGGTACCCACAGGGGGTGGGGGGCGGTACAGCTGACTGGAAGCCAAGCAGACAGCCTTGAGAAGCCGACCCGGTCCAAGCAAGCGCCTGAGGGAGGCGAGGTGCTGTGCCAGAATATTTGTGTATTTGAAAACAGATCAACTCCTGTTAAAACGGATTGCAGAGGCTGTGTGCACTCTTTGCTGGGACCTGTATTGCCTCCCAAATGTGCTTAAAGCCTGGTAGGGAGATTTGCATTATTCAGAACTATCCCTTAAGATGGGGTGTGTTGCAAGACCGAGCCTGTTTGGGAAGTCAGCTTGGGTTTGTCCGGTGCTAAGTGTGGGAACCAACCTGCAGTGGAATGGAGAGGCAGGGTGGCAGAAGGGACGAGGGGCTGAGGATGCACGCAGGAGGGGACATCCCTCTCTGTGGGGAGGACAGGGGCACACAGCTTAAAGGGCCCTGGCTTCATGCTCCTAAGCTCCCATGCCACCAGGTGAAATAGAACTGCTCTCTTTCCAGAGAAGTGACCCAAGTTTGGAACTGATCTTACAGTTTGCAGATTCTGCAGCACATCTGAGCAATTCAGGGAGACTTTCTGACTCCTAAGAGTGCCACTTAGATAGCAGACATTAGGAGGAAGTAGGGTTAGTGCTCCATGGTCTGCCTCAGGAGAGACTCCTTCTCCCTCACCATGGTCACCAAAGGGACCTGTTCTGGCATGGGCAAAGTGGGACAGGCACATCACCTCTCTGTGAGGCTGACTCCGTTTATCTTTGACTGCATCCCAAAACAAATTTTAAAAAATGGTTTCAGATCGCCCAGCGTTTTGTATTAGATATCTTTCCCCCCTGCCCTTCCTTAAATGTAGGTAACGCACGATCAGCCATGATGAGATTGGTGTCTTTCCCTAAGGGGCAAACTGTGATGGAAACCCGCTGTGAGGAAAGACTTGGAAGCTGTCCCAGCTTGGCTGTTTTTCCCCCCACCCCCAGACCTGGTTCTGAAGGTACAAGAAAGAGCCTGTGTCCTCTCCAGGCAGGAAAGCAAAGAGAGCACAACTGTGCTATTTTAAGCAACTGTACCCAATTCTGGGCTGGCTCAGATGCCCAGAACTTGCTCCTGGCCAAAGCTGCCCCTGGGAGAACTCCAGGAGGCAGACAGGGCTCTGTTCCCATCACCGGGGGGGGGTGGGGGTGGGGGGCGTGGTTCTTGGCATTTGGTGGAAAGAGTTTTCAGTGGAGTAGGGGACTCAGAAATGAAGCAGAAACAAACAGCCCTTACCTCCTCTGGTAGAGGAAAGGATGTTTCTGGAAAGCCCGACTTCTAAATGTTGCTGAAAATCTCTAACTGCCTAATTCCACAGAGAAAGGCTCTTTAGCACCTCCACCTCCCTGCCTCTACCCTGTGTGATCTTGAGGGCTTCTGCCCAGGACCGCAGAAGGTCACCTGACTCAGTCCCCAAACAGGAGTCTGACTTTAAGCATCACACTGGGCAGGCAGAGGAAGCCAGGTGATGGCACTGAGGACCATCCAGGGATCGGCTCAGTGAGCATCCTGCTCGATGCTCCCGCCGCCCTCACTGCCCCATGCTGTCACCCCGTCCTGGCTCCGGAGGCCACTCTGAGGTCCTGTGCAGACCACACTGTCCTCCGCAGCTCAGCTAGCTGGTCGGTGATCGCTCCTGACATGAACTGAGACACTTCAGACAACCCAACTTTCTTCTCCAAGGGTCCCCTCTGGGCCTGGGTCTGGAATAGGAAGGCCAGCGAGGGGGCAGCAAAGTAGACTGAAGCTGGGTCTACTGCCACGAGCACGTGGGGGCTTATCCCGGGTTTTCCAGCCGTCCTGTTGGTCAGCAAACCGTGGGCAGCCCGACTCCAACTCGGAACAGTGTGCGGGGAGCTGCAGGAGCGGGGGTGCTGGAGGAGGGTAGGTGGGGTTCCGAGAGAGATGGTGAGAGGCGCAAAGAGGCAAGGAAGAAGGCGGGAGGGAAACAGAGGAAGGGAGGGAGAAAGCAGAGAAGACAATGAAAAGGAGAGGAAGAACCCCCACACAGGAGAAGGAGAACAAGAAGGAAGCTGCTTCTTGTGGGTCCACCTCAAAGCCAGGTGGAGACAGAGTGTGCGGCTGGGGTTCTCGGCACCACCTGCTTCCATCACTGGCAGGGGCAGCTGAGGAAAGAAGACCAGGCCCCCAGCTGTCCTGAGTGAGGAGCAAGCTCCCTTGGCCTCTCCCTGACGCCCCCTGAGAGGCGTGTGGGCTCGGGAAAGCCGGGGTTCAGGCCCTCTTCTCCAACCCGGGGCAGCTGTCAGCACCCACATCAGGTTCTTTGCTTGGCTTCCCCGACAACCACCACTGTCCCCGGTGTGGAAAACAGCATCCACAGCTGAGTCACACAGACCAAGGTCTTTTGGGGGTGGGGGGCTCCTCCAGAGAAGGCCTGTTACAAATCCACAGTGCAGACGAACACAGCCCCTTGGAATTCAACGTCCTAGGCAGGCTGAGGACTTGCAGCCAGAGCTCCAGGTCGGTGGGGCCCCGGCAAGAAACGTGTCTGGGAACTGACTACTCGCTTCTCTCCTCTGCGGGGCCACCCACGCTATCCTGGGTCAGGCAGTGCTGACCCCTTTGGTACCAGCCAAACAGAATACGGAAATAAAAACGAAAACAAATAAAACAAGAACATAGACCTCCAGCTTGCAAATGTAGTCATCGCATGTGGTCCGGCATCAAACACAATTTGTGTTGGGGTCCCTGCTAAGGCGGATATTCTGTCCTGTGGCTTTGTTTCTAGAAGTACAGACTACCAGGCAGGGACTAGATGACCACTCAAAGCAGTGCTGCTGTGTGTCCCGAGCACCCGGAGAGCAGAGGGAGGTCACGGAGCCAGGGCCGTGGAGGCAGGCTCGGGCTGGGCTGGGGATGGCTGCCCTGCGGGCCAGGTGATTCGGACTGCCCCCGAAGCTTGAGAGGCATTGACTCAGAATAGGACCAAGTTTAACTCAAGGCTTCAGAATCAAGTGAGGTGGTTTCAGAGCCGCTGAAGGAGCTCAGGCCTCATAAGCTGGAAGGATTTCTGGGTCAGCCTCGGGGACAAGGCTGCCCCCAGACCCAGGTACCTGGGGCTCCTCGGGCTCCGTGGGCTTCCGCCCCTGGCTCCCAGCCCCAGGCCGGGACCTGCACTTACTGGTGAGGACCTTGAGGGTGAAGGCATTCTTCTGCTGGATGGTGTGCGTAAAGTGGAAGCGCGCGTTGCAGCTGTAGTCTGTCTGCATGTCCTGCAGCATCACATTAGAGAAATACAGGTCGCCGTTATGGCCCTGAGAGACGCGCTTGTCTTGGGTGATGGGCTCCATGGCTGTAAGGAAGCAGAGGTACCGATGGAGATTAGCGGTCACGGTAACAGGAGTGCCGGTTGTGATCGGTCTGGCGACTGAGCACCAACAGAGCGCCAGGTGGGGCCAGGAGTAGAACACGATTCCCTCTCATCCTCTCAACTCTGAGGGAGGGCTTTTTCCCATTTTACAGACAAGAAAGCAATGGGTTTAGCTTGTCCTAGGTTGCAAAAGCAATGAGAGAACAGGAGGATTTAGATTCGGACCCGCCTGCCCACCACGCCCATGGTCCGGGACCAGACTTTTCTAGCTCCTGTTCGCATCACGAAAGCTCCGACTGGCCCTGAACCGGAGGGAGGGGACACAATCCTTCAGATGCTCCCCAAGTCAGGAGTCAAATTCACTTGTTTTCTTTTTTAAGCCCTCACTCCCACCAGGAAAGGGAAAAGCACTGCCAATTATAATTGTAAGATACATACTAATCAATGATGCACACCATCAATTTTAGGATGCTTTCTACTTTTAGAGATGTTAAAAGATGAAAATGGTGCTTTTTAGAATTAATGACATCATGGGAGTGGCAGTGGATGCGGACTACATTATCTATGATTTTTGAAGCATCAGATGTCAATTCAAATGACCAGGTCTGCAGGTTATTCGACTTGTAAAAGCATATTTGTCAGGCTGACTATTCATTGCTAACTCCTTCCCATCCACCACAACGGTTTATTAAGTTACCATTTCGTAAAGTGCAAAGTTAATGATGCCATCTTTCCAATGATGGGCTGGGCAGTTCTTCAAATGACTTGTTATCAAAGATTTCCTGCAGGCCTACTGTGTGCCAGGCACTGTGCCCGGGATTGGTGAAAGAGAAAAGAGTAAGACAGTTCCTGCCCTCAAGGAGCCTGCAGCCTAGAAGAGGCGGTAGATAAAGAAATCGTTGCTATGCTGTGTGGTGAGTGGGAAGGGGATGAGCTGAGAGAGGAGCACCGAGTCCCTGCCAGGGGGCCCTGAGCTCCACCTTGGGGGCTCCATGACACCAGGCAGAAGAGACAGGGGCCCTACGAGGTTTCCAAGCAGCAGGAACAGCGGGTGCTAAAGGTTAAGAGCATGCAGCTGGGGCAGGGGTAGGAGAAAGGCCAGGGAGGCAGAGGGAACTAGATCAGGAAGGGAAAGAAGTGTGGACTTTGTCCGAGGTGATGCAGGAGCCAGTAAAGGGCGGGGAGCATATGAATGAAACGATCAGATGTATGTTTTTAGAAAGACCGGGGAGGCCAGTTATGGATGATTACTGCCACCCAGGGAAAAGCTGATGGTGGCCTACACTGGGGAGATGCCAGTGATGATGGAAAGAGGAGGGGCATGAGATCTGCTCAGGACGCAGCTTGGACATAAGCTGGTGACAGGTGTGATGCAGCGACAAGAGAGTCTGAAGAGTTAGCAAATCAACCAGCACTCCAGCCTGTGGCCAGGCAGACCTTCCCACGGACTTGCACTGAGATGACAAAGAGAGAGACAATGGGTGAGCACAAAGCCACACTCTCTCTGCAAAACAGCTCACAACCCCGCCTCTTTTGGAAACAGGCTGGCAAAAACTCAGGGATGGACGGATGATGGATGCTAAGCAGGCAGGCAGATCTATAGATTGACCGATGGATGGAAAGACCAGGGGTGGGGGTGGGGGCGGGGGGCAGGTATGGAGGAGGGGGAGGGGAAGCCAGGAAGACACAGACAGCTAGCAATGCTCTAGGCCCCTTTATAACACGCCCCCACTTACTTTAATTGAAAACATGGGAAGAAACTGAGGTCCAGAGTGGTTAAATGAATCTCCAAATGTCCAAAATGAAACAGGACAAGCTCTCAGTGATGATACCTCTGTCCCCCTGCTACAAACATCCTGTCTCCCTGTCGTTCCTTCATCAAAGGTTTCATTCCTGTGCCCCTCTGTCCTAGCAGGGCAGCACTTAGTAAATCCAGACGGACCAAATATTGAATTCAAGGAGGCTTGGTGTCAACCCGCCTTCCTCCTCTTTTCTTTTCTCTTGCTCTTCTTCTTCATCATCACAAACTTACTGTGTGTCTGGTTCTGTTATAAGCACTTTGGATGTATGAACTCGTTGATCCTTACAATGATCCTATTAGATAAGTACAATTATTAGCCCTATTTTTTTCCAGAAAAGCAAACCGAGGCCCAGAGATGTTACACAACTTGCTCAGGATCACACAGCTAACAGCAGCTGGGCTAGGAAATGAGCCTGAGCCACCTCTCGATGTGTTCTCAGCCACGAGGCCCCCTTATACCTGCTTCTCACAAGTTGACGTCTTCCAACCTTGGGCAAGCCCCTCCTATTTAGTACACTGGCCCCACTCCCTAAGATGAAAGCAGAAATCAAACACCAGGCCCCCAAGACTTACAGCTGCTCATCCAGAAGATGACTGGGGATGGAAGTCCGGGCGGGGGGTTGCACTGGAGCGTCAAGGGAGCGCCTTCTTGAACCACGACAGGGTCTAGGTTTTCCTTGGGCCACAGGGGAGACTCTGGGGAGAATCAGACAGAAGATCATGAAGTGAGGGTGATGGAGGGCAAGGAGCAAGGAGCTCGGCTACAGGCAGGCATACAAAGAAGAAAGGCAGAAGGGCAAACAGGAGAACAAGAGGGCCCGTGAGTCTAGGCCAGGTGCAGCAAGAGAGGAGAGGCCTTCTGTCTAAACAGATACACCTCTCCAAAGGCTCCTCTCCTTCCTCTCCTCCTATGCCCAGAGTACCAGTGAAATTGTTCAAGACTCTGGCTTGGAAGCCTCCTTTCCAAGGAATCTTTTTGAGCAGGGAGAGATGTGCTCCTGCCCAGGGGCAGAAAAGCAGGCAGGACATGCAGGGCACCAAGGCACCCATTGGCCAAGGACAGGGGCGGCCCTTCTGGAATGATCCTCCATCCCCCCCCCCCCGCCATGGACCCAGGAGCAAGGCATGCCAGTCCCACCGTGTGCTACTCACTGGACACCTGCAGACGGATCCTATTGGATAGGGCTGTGCCAAATTTGTTGCGGGCGAAGCACTGGTATTCCCCCTCATATTCCTCGGGCCGCCCCCCACTGCGGAAGTCGATCACCAGGGTCCCAGATCGCCTCCTCATTGACACCCGGGGGTCCTTGGCGATGTTGAAGAACCTGCTGTTTCGAGTCCAGTGGAAGCTGTGGGCAGTGGCGGGGGGAGAGGGGAGAAGCAGGGACAATATGGAAGAACATGGTGGGCTCTGGGTTCCAGGTGAGAACCCCAGGGCCCTGGTCCCTGGCCCAGTCCCATAACCACACCTCCATACCACCCTGGCTAAGTGGCAGAACCGGCTGGGAAGCCAGATAAAATGCAGAGTCCCAGGTCACAGCCACAGGTGAAACTCTGGGGGTAGGCTCCTGACATTAGAGCTTTTAGCCAGCAAAGGCTGGGAGTCATGGCTGTGATAGGTACCCAAATAGCCACTGGGGGTTTATGTTCTTTGCAGGAGCAGTCAGGGAATTTGAGTTTTTTAAAAATCCAGAGTCAGCTCAGCTTCCACCCCAGGGCATCTCAACCTCTGACTACGAATGCAAACCCAAATTCATATTTCACCCGAGCCAAACATATTAGGGAGCTAGCTCTGGTCCTCCTGTCTCCTTGTTTGAGAGCTGACTCTAAAGCCAAAGGGCAATGGCTCAGGTTATCTGTGCTCTGCTCAGTGGGTGCAGAGTATAAAGCAGTGGCTGCACATTATAGCCCAGGAGGGGCAGCTTTGAAAGAACCAGCAGCCTTCAAAAGATCCCAGAGGTGAAGAGACTAGAATCTCCCTTTGCTTCTGGAGGTGGGGGATACATCTGCAGCTGCCCAGGACATAACCTTAAAAGAAGCTGGCGCAGTAGTGGCTGCTCAGTGTCATGGAATTATTGTCCCTGCAAAGGAACCACGGTGGAAAGGACCAAACTTCAGAAGGCCATCTATGCGCTGCCTGACCCTCCCAGGTGACCCTGCTTCTTCCAGCCTGGATGAGAGAGGCCCTGCTTGTTCTCAGGCTCATGCAAACTGGGCGGGGGGTGGGCAGAAGGAGGCTGCCACATACCCGAGGTTCCACCCTGCCTCGTTTTTCCTGACAGATGCCCAGCATGGGGTCCTGTCATGTCTGGTCTGAACGGTCCAGCCTGTGGATGCTGCTTTGAAGGTGGGGGACAAATAGCAGAACAATCTCTAGATCTCCAGTGTCTTTTGTTTGGTAGAAACAAACTGGCCTGGGGTGGGGGGCGGGGAGGGTGCCATCAGAGGTCTGGGTTTAAATCCAGGCTCTGCCCCCTTTCAAGCTGGGTGACCTTGGCAAAAGTACATATCTCTGTCCTTCCATTTCACTTCCTCTTCACGAGGACATGGGTCCATCTGTGAAGGGCAGCGAGGTGCTCTAACGAGACAGTGAGGAGCAACATTGCACTCAGCCTGCACACTGCAGGCCTTCAGCTCTTGTCTGCTGACGCCTCATTTGATGCTGATGTGCTCACAAGCCGAGATGTGCTCAGAATGGAAGACTCAAGTTAGCCAGCAAGAGGAACTTCCTATAAGCTAGGAATGGGGGACGGGATGTTGGGGACATAAGGCACTGGAAACAATGTGTGACACCGACAGTCAGGAAACTTAATATCTAGTCCTGGCTTCGTGGTGTGACCTTAAGCCACATAAGATTTCTGGATCCCAGTCTTCTCATCAGCTAAATGTCTTAGTTCTCTGAATTGTACTTTCTACCTGGTAGGTATCCAAGAGATGTCTGCTGGATAATTTTAATTTTCCAGCTGCTTCAACTATGCTCAGAGCCAGGGCCAGGACGTGGTTTCAATGCCTCTTCAATACCTGCACTCTTTGCAGGGGTTGGTAGGCGGGGCTTGGATTTACCTGCCAGCACACTCACCTGGGGGCAGGGTTCCCCTTTGCTTCACACTCAATCAAGATGTTATCGCGGGGATCCACGATGTGGTCCTTCACTGACTGCTTGGTGATGGTTGGGGGCTGGGATACTGCAACAGCACAAACAGAGGGTGGTCAGGGCTTCAGGGCCCTGGCTTGGGGAATGGCTGAAATGAAGAGCTTCCAGAGCCACGTGTCAAGCAGGCAAGCAGGGGGTGGGCAGTGCCCCATGCCAGGGACCCAGCTCCTTAAACCGGGCCGCAGGAAAGGGAGTTATGTTAAGGACTGAGCATAAGAAGAATCCCTTTAAGATCTCATGGAATCCCTATGAGAAACTTCTGTTTTACCCATTCTTATATCCCAATGCTTAGTAAATGCTTAGTGCACAAGAGTTCCTGAGATACATTTACTGAATCGATCAAGGAACACAAAGCAGCTCCTTTCCAGAACGCAGCGGCCAGGATGGTTCTGAGCCCCTGGAGAGTCAACGGATGGCCAAACTGCGGTGAGGCTGGAGCTCAGAGGCTTACGTCCCCAGGCACTTGTCTGCATGCCAAAGAGCTAGCTCCTCCAACTCTTGGCCCCCACCTCCAATGTTCATGGTGCTCCTGTGCAGGCCACCAGAGCATGGGGAGCCGCGGCCCTTCTTACCTACCTGCTCTTCTGCCGTTCCCAGCAACAGGATGCTCAGGGTGAGCCGCTTCCCTCCCCGTGTGGCAAGGGGCCGCACTACAGGGGCTCCGGTGTCAAGAAGCCCCAGCAGGCAGGGTGGAGAGGCGGTTAATCCACGCCCCCCCCACCGTCTCGCCTCACTTGGCCTTCTCCCGCCCCTCCTTGCTGCCCGCCTACCTCCCAGAGGCACGAGTGCAGAGAGGTGCCCGGGGGACTTACGCTCATTCTGAATGCTTGCTGTTAGTTCCGGTGGGTTAGCATTTCGAGGGGAGAAAAGAAAACATGGGTTATAGGTTATCGCACATGACTGCTCGCCTGGGTTGCTGACGCCCCAGCCTGCGGGGAGAACGCTGAGGCCGGCCTGGGCAGGGCACGGCGCCTGGGCTCTCTGCTCCCGGTGGCAGAGCTCAGTGGGACAGCCACACAGAGAGGGGACAGACCCAGCGAGTGCTTTGTGGAGGAGGTGACACCTCCACAGGGAGCTCAAACCACGCAGCTGAGCAGAAAGACCAGCCTCTGACCAAATGATGTCACCAAGGGAAGTCCAAATATGAAAAGTGACAAGGCTGCTTGAAAGAGACTGGGCTCTGAAGATGCTGCCCATCCTTCTAGATGCTACTGAGGAAAGTGGGCTCCCTGGCCAGAGGTGTGGGGCTGAGAAGCCTGGGCGGCAGCAGATCTGAATCAGGGCTTCAGAGCAAAGCCCCAAGGGCCCCAAGCATGGTCCACAGGCTTCACTCCTCCCACCACACCTTCCTCTCTGTCACACATGCAAGCACCTTCTTGCCTACCCTTTGGAAAATTCTAGGGACCGATGAATCACTGTGGCTCTGCTCATGGCAGAAGTACATTGCCCTACAGAAATCCTTCTTCCAAACAACTGCAGGGATGAAGCGGAGCCCACCACTCCTTTCTGCGCTTTTTACGGAAGAGATAAAGAGGCAGGTAGCACAAATCTCCCCCATCCCTCACCTGAGACGTGCACAGGCCTGTGCACAGGTATGAGTCTATTTGAGGTCGGGCTTCTCACACTCTGACAAGTATATGAATCACCTGAGGGGCGGGTCTAGTTAGAATGCAGGTTCTAACTGAGCAGATCCTACATTTCTGACAAGCAGCCAGGTGGTGCTGATGCTGGTGGTCTGGGTACCATGCTTCGCACAGCAAGACTTTCGATGGTAATGAACTTTCCGGGAAGGGCGGCCTTGGTTTAACATTTGCAGAAAAGAGAACAAGTGTTTCTGTAACTTTGTAAGAGGCCTTTTCTTTATGGCTCTAGCATGAAGTCATATGCCAAGCTTCTTCCACATTGGCGCTGACGTGTTGGTGTCGCAGGCTGACTTTTTCAGGGGAAAGCAGAGGCTGCGGGTGAGCCCAGGTGACCTCGAAGCTTCCTGACTCAGCCACCATGAGATGGCTGAGGAGATGGAAAAGGAGCTTAGGGGCCCCGAGAGGGGGCAGTGTGGAGAAGGCAGAGTTAAGGCAGGACCAAGAGGTGCCGGAAGAATCCCAAAAGAGAAGACAGACATCAGGGAGGAGAGGCTGCGTGTGGCAGGAAGGGGTTCCCTGCTATGCATGCTGTCAGTAAGTCAAAGTCTTGAGTAAGACACACTAAAAGGTCCAGAATAATTCTTTCAAGTGGGCCAGGGTTGTGTGGCCTGCTGGGGCACCGAAAAGTAATTTTATCTGCTTTACCATTTGCCTGGGTGCAGCCTTGGCAGGAAACAAAAAGAAATGAAAAGTCCCGGGGAAAAGCAGAAATCTGTGGTTTCTAACACATGCTCCCTGGAGAGCCCCACAGTGGCATCTTCACCCATATAAGATTTTCCTGCCAGGGGCCCAAGAAAGGTTAATTCTGGAAAGCCAGTGTAGTTGGGCATGGAGGGCAGGTGGGGAGAAGGGGCCATTTTCAGGAGAAGCAGGGCTGACACTGACCTACTCCTTTGGACCACCAACCCAGGCCTGCAGTTTCTTCATCTCAAGACAGAGTTGATGCTTCTCGGGTCCCCACGCACAGTGGAGGGCTCTGACCTTGCCCTGGCCGAGGCTGTATTTTGCCCACATGGCCTTCAAGCCTCTCTTATAAAATCAAGGGCTGGCTCAATGGAAAGAGCCCTAGACATTATCCAGGGAATCTCAGATTCTTGGAAGGGAAGTCACTTGGTTAAGGTCACATAGGAAATTTGCTGCAGAACTGGAATGAGAACCAGCTCTCCTGTAGTCTGGTCCAGAGCTCTTTTTACGAATCTATCCTTGGTCAGAGAGGTGGGTTGGCCAGGTGGGGCCCCAGCACGCTCTTCTCCTTGACATTCTGGACAAAGGTGAGTAAGGGGGAGTGGAGACTCTCAGAGCTGGCCGGATGCTGTCCCCAATCCCACGATGAAATCAGGCCAGGGGCCTCTTGAGAGTCTGCTTCCCTAAAGAGGTCATGACATCTGCAACCACGGTTGTGTCACCAAGGAATTTATTACAGAGATTCAACCAACCCGAAGACAAGCCAGCACAGGGAGATGACAGTGAGGACTGCCTGCTTGGGGATAAGGGCAACCTACCTTGTCCTGTGACACCCCGCAAACCCCATGTCATGCCACCTGCCCTTCTCCCCATCTACAAAACTTGCTGCTGATGTCAAGTGGAAAATGAGTCTGCTCTTGTGGCTTCCGAGGGGGAGGGAAAAATTTTCCAGTGAGCTCTGCAGCGGGTAAGGCAGAGGCCTGCCCCATCTGTAAGGTTTCTGTATGCCTGCATGTCTTCTCTTTCCCTGGCTGATATCCACAGCCGCTGGCACCCGTCCCTGGAGGATGGAGTGTCCGTGAATGTGTGTGTGTGTGTGTGTGTGTGTGCTGAGGTCATCTTGCAGCACAATCTGGGATGAGAGTGAGGACGAAATGTGTCTCCTCTGTGGGTTCCTAGGAGAAAAATGCCAAGTCCCTTGATGTGGTGGGGGGGACGGAGGGGCGAGCTGCCAGCAGACTCAATTTTTGGCAGACCCGCTCTTGTTGATGAGGTGACCCTTTGCTTTCTTCAAAGGTCATGTTGTTCTCCTTGGGGTGGGCGGGGGGGGTGGGTGCGTGTGACTCTGTTGGCCAAGCAGCAGGGGCTGGAGGCTGGTGTTTCAATGAGGGATTGTGTCACAGCATGGGGCTGTTCCAGGAAGCCTGCGGGGCCCAAACTCCCCAGAGCAGAAGCAATGTCCCGGTCCTCAAGGCACAGATACTGCCCCCTGAAGGGGCAGGCGAGTGGAAGGGCGCCCCTGACAGGGCAGTCTCCAGCCTCCAGCCTCAGCCCCCTCAGCCGCTCCCGGGCAACACACACAGAAAGTTTTGAGTGCCTGATCTTCACTTGCCCCACACCTGGGCGACTGCGAATAATGCTGCAGGGAACACTGTAGATATCTCCCTTGCCTTTTGTGACAACATGGGTAGGCCTGGAGGACGTCATGCTAAGTGAAATTAAGTCAGAGAAAGCTCTGGTATGTTCTCACTATATGTAGAATCTAAAAAAGTCAAACTCAAAGAAACAGAGTGGAATGCTGGTTGTCAGGGACTGGGGGATGGGGGGAAGCGGGGAGACGCTGGTGAAGGGGTACAAACGTCCAGCTGTAAGACGGCCATGTTCCGGGCGCTGAATGCACAGCATACTGTACTGTACACTTGAGAGCTCAGCATACTGTACTGTACACTTGAGAGCCCAGCATACTGTACTGTACACTTGAGAGCCCAGCATACTGTACTGTACACTTGAGAGCCCAGCATACTGTACTGTACACTTGAGAGCTCAGCATACTGTACTGTACACTCTTGAGAGCCCAGCATACTGTACTGTACACTTGAGAGCCCAGCATACTGTACTGTACACTTGAGAGCCCAGCATACTGTACTGTACACTTGAGAGCTCAGCATACTGTACTGTACACTCGAGAGCTCAGCATACTGTACTGTACCCTTGAGAGCTGTTCCGAGAGTAGATCTTCCAAGCTGTCGCCCCACGCACACACGGTAATTGTGGGACGGGGTGGATGGGTAAACTTACCCACGTGGCAATCATTTCATAATACATACGTGTAGCAAATCACCAAGTTGTCCACCTTACACTTACATAGGTTGTATGTCAATAAATACCTCAGTAACTCTGAGGGGGAAAGGAAAAAGAATGTGTGATCTTTCCCCAGCCCATCCCCCTGGGCCTCAGCCCAGGGTAAGAGGGAAGGATGGGCTCGGGTAACTTGGGCGGAGGGTGCCTGTCATGCTTGGGCCAGCAGGAGGGGAAAAGCTGGCTGAAGAGGACTTCTTCCCAGGGCCACTGGGTCCCCTCTGAAGGGCTGGCCTTCTCTGGTCTTGCGTTCAGCTGTAGCAGACTCATTCTGGAGAGGTCGCCATGGCCACTGTGCCTGCAGCCACCTCAGATACACTTGCTCTGGGAAGCCCTCATGGGTTTCCTGATGTGACAGAGCAGGGGAATCAGACATGGTGTCACAAAAGGATCCCCTTCCTCATTCAGAGAGGGGCTGTGGTCATGTGCCGGCCCTACCACTTAAGTGCTGGAGAGTGGTACCTCCATTTTCTAACCTGTCAGCAAAGGATTCACTGTGAGAATCACAGGAGATGCTCCTAACGCACTTAGCTCTCGGCCAGGCGCACAGCAGCTGCTACCCTGGTGATTCCAAGAACTAAAAGAAGGCGGGATTAACGGAGGTCAGGGTGAGGTGTGTCGAGTGCCAACCTGGTGGCAGGTCAAGAGACCCAGGATCTATTCATGAATCCAGCACCCATTTGCTGTGTAGGGTGTCCGTGTCCTTGATGACAATTCCAGAAGTGGAGACTCTCCGGGGCCCTCCCTCCTCAATGGACACTGAGGAGATGGGGAGATGGTGCTGGGGAGGTCAGGGCACCTGCAGCTCTCTGCCCCACACGTGGTACTTTGGAGACACCCACTGCTGGGTCACCTGCCCACGGCCCCAGTAGCGCTTTAGAAATCCAGATTCCTAACTGAGAGGTCAAAGCCATCTATTTATAAGTTCATCTTGGAGGAACCCCTCACCCACTAGCCCAAGGGATCAAAGTGGCAGGTGAATGAGTGAGGAGAAGCAGCAGAAGAGAAATGAGCCTTCACCACTTCCTCGATAACCCAATTTCCTCGGCACACCCTCTCCTCTCCAGGGACATGGCCTTATCGTGCTCCTTATTAGATTGTCTGCCTGGGATTGTTAATGAGACACTCTTCTTTGAGTTAGCAGCACAGATGGTCTCCATGGGAACAGTTCCTTTCACGACACCGCCCCTTCCCACTGAATACACACACACATACATACACATGCGTACACACACACACACACACACACACGGGGCTGTTGGGAGGGCAGCAGGGGCCTTGACCATCTTGCTTCTGGGTCCAACTTATAGTTTCTGCTAGTCTTCTCTTACCCAGAAGTGCCTACTCCTCTGGGCAGCTATTATTGGTAGGGTTGGGCGGGAGGGGGTTGAAGTATGTGCAACTCTTCTCCAAACTGGGCTAACTCCAGGCCCCAGGCCCCAGGCCCTGGCTTAGGAGAGCTTGGTGGGTACTCCTTGGAGGCTGTGTCACTCTCCCAACCCTCCCCAGACATCTGTCACCTGGATAGAGCCCAAGTCAGGGTTGGCATCATGTGGGTCCCATCTATTTCTGGAAGCAGGGAACAGGCGACAGAGGTGGTGTGCCCACATCAGAGCACTGGAATGCCAAGACATTCTGATGGAAGAGCTAGAATTGTGGCAAAGGTGGTACACATCTAAATGCGGGGCAAAGGAACGGGGCTGCCAGTCCATGGGCCCCTTCTGAACATAACAGATATGGCTGCTAGAGATGGGGCTATTAGATCAGCATCCTAAGCCCCCTGCCTGATGATTCTGACGGCCAAATAACACCCCCACCGTGGGACACAGAATGACACAGGTTTTACTTCCCAACTTTGCCATGGGAGAGCTGAAAACAAACACAAGAAATCAGTGCCTGGTTTTCCCACAGTGGCATTATAACGGAGCTCTATTTTAATGTTTCATTTAGACCCAGTCTTTTGCAGAATAATTCCCTTCCCCAACCCTCCCCAGGCCATCCGTCCTGATTCAGTCCAGCCAAGACAGCCCAAGGGTCCAGCTCAGATATTAGAAAGGCAAATAACTATCTGCTACACTGGGTCCTTGGAAGCTTCACGTTGATGGGCAAGTCAAGACCGCAGAGGGCCGTGGGAGGGGAGCAGAGGGAAGAACTCCTGAGTGACACACAGACTTGCAAACCCTGCCACCTCCGGTCCTGCTCAGCAGGCTCCAGACAGCACAAGCCTCGGCTCAGCCACAGTCCTCAGAGGTTGTGCTACACGATTCGTCTCACAGTCCCAAACACAAGCCTGCCGGCCTCCATTCTTTGGAGGGAAACCCAGCTCTGCACCCAGAATCCACCACTACCCCGCTCTCCAGCCTCTTTGAAAGCTGATCTTAACTCCCCCTGACCATCCCTCCCCGCCAACTCCTCAGCCCCAAATCAGGAGAATTAAAGAAGAGGATGGAGCAGTACTCACGATCCATAGGAATCTCGATGGCCCCAGTGAGGCTGAGGAGGCAGAGCAGGATGGCTGTGTGGACCCAGGGCGGCGGCTGCTGCCTGGCCATCCTCAGCACGGGGCCCCGCTCCCTGCACCCCGGCCTGCGAGGTCTTGCTGCCTCCAGCCACTCTACCTGGGCCTCCCGGACAGAGCTCAGCTGTGGAAAGAAATACAGTGCCAAGTGAGTTTTTCTGGAACTTGCGGTTTGTTCTAGCAACCCTACAGGGCCTGAAGAACTCAAGGGTTTGGTCATAGACTGATGTTCTTAAATAAGGTTTCTTAACCTTGTGCTATTGACATTTGGGACCCACAGTTCTTTGTGTGGGCAACAATCTTCGGTATTGCAGGATGCTTAGCAGCATCCCTGGCCTCTAACCACGAGATGCCAGTAGAGCCCATTCCTCCCCCCAAACAAAAATGTCTTTAGACATTGCCAACTGTCCGCTGGAGGAAAAACCACTCCCAGTGGAGAACCACTGTTCTAGAAGGAAGGGCAACTCTGCATGGAAGAGTCATGAAAAAACACTGTCCCACTGGTCCAGCATCTAGAGGATGCCATGCACTGGGCCAGCAAGCAACACACCAATCTCATAGCTTCTCTGGACCCTATGTATTGTGTGGGGTTAGACAGGTGAAAGCTGGCTGCTTAAAGGACTTTTTAAAAAAAAATGGATTTCTGCAGATATTTTGTGCAGCAAAGATACAGTGGTCCCGGATGCTGACCCTTTAGAGATAACGGCAATGCTGAGACTATGACCCAGAAGAAGGGGAATCCACCGGGTTGGTAGAATGAGAGATATTATGACAGCCCAATGTTCACATTCTCAAGCACAACAAATCATTCCAGGCCCTCTAAGGGGAAAGATTAAAAATGACTATCCAAGGGGCCTAGAATGAGTCTTTAAGAGATAAACCCCTTTCCCCACCTCCTGAGAGAGAATGGCCTATGGGAGGTGGGTGGGGGAAGAGTGCAACAGATTAAGGGATTAAGAGTACACTTATCCTGATGAGCACTGAGTAATGTCTGGAATTGCTGAATCACTACATTGTACACCTGAAACTCATACAACCCTGTATGTTAACTACGCTTGAAAAAAGAAGAGAGTGGCCTAGGGAAGGCTCTGAGAAAGAGTGCTTTAAGACTGCCACGGGGTCTGAAACGCGGAGTCGTCAAACTGGGTGCAGTGTGCTGTTCTGCCCTGAGGCCGAGTCAAAGAGGGTGGCAGGAGGTCCCCCCAGAATGCTTCCCTTCTCTGTACCCCACCACCGTCTCCCATCTATCCTGCGTGAGGCTGTTGGCAAAAGGAGCAGGGCTCCAGGGCTGGCTCCTGGGAGACAAGGTTACCCTTCTGAAGACCTGGAGGATGAGGCACCTCCTCTGGGCGGGGATGTGGGGCCAGCCAAAGGATTCGGATTCCAACTGCAGCAGTTTCTTTCCTGGAAGCTGGGCCCAACAGCAGCCCCCCAGCCTCAGGTGTATTTCTGGACTCCATCCACTTGCTTTCCTTCCCACGGCTTCCACCCTGGTTCTGGTCACCATTGTTTCATGACAGTGACCACAACAGCTTCCTGAGGGCTCTCGCCACTTCCACTCTTACTCCTTTGACTCATTCTCCACCATCACCAGAGTTGTCCTTCTCTAAAGTGCAGATACAAGTGTGCCGCTCCCCAATCAAACTCACTAGCTCACAGCTGCCAGAGAGCTAAATCCTTCGAGGTGGCTCAGATGTCCTCCCGGCCCCCTCTGCAATCTTGCCTCCCATCACCTTCCCTGTGTGTTCTGTGTTCCAGCCAACACTGGTCACCTGCCAGGTCCCCTCATGCGTCCTGCTCTGTGACTTCTGTGCAGATTAGCTCCTGTCTAGAACATGCTTTGAATCTGCCCTCTCATGAGGATCTGCCAAGTATGACTTGTGTGTCCCTCGTCTGTACTCCTGAACATCATTTACGATCCCCTCCCCATTATATAGCATTTGTCACTTTTGTTTTAAAGATTTATTTATTTTGGAGAGAGAGAGAGCTCATGAGTGGGCTGGAGGCGCAGAGAGAGAGAGAGAGAATCTCAAGCAGATTCCCTGCTGAGCATGGAACCTGACGGGGGCTCGAACTCGTGACACTGAGATCATGACCTGAGCTGAAATCAAGAGTTGGATGCTTAACTGCCTGAGCCACCCAGGCGCCCCAGCATTTGTCACTTTGTATTCATCGTACTCATTCCAAAAGCCACTCGTCTGTATTCTCTATTAAAAAAGGAAGGCACCATAGGGAAGGTGCCTCATCTTGTTTATTCCTAAAATCTAACGTGGTGCTGAAAACACAGGAGGCACTCAACAGTATGGGATGGATGGGTGAAAAATGAGCAAATAAATGTCTGGCCGAATGAAATAAACCACTTGGATCACGTGTTTTTTTAAAACCTCATGCTTCCCCCAGAAAGCCAGTAGGCAGCTCAGGAGAACACATGCTTTGGACCTGGATGGCATACTGTGGAGGCTATCGATTAGTGGAGGAAAAACTCCCTCCCTACCGAGGTACTGCACTCGGGCCAGGGAATCAGTCAGCTGGAAGAGGCTCAGGAGAGTAGAAATCCCCCAAGGAGGAAAACCTCCTGGCTGGACAGTATCACAGGAGGTCCTTGGTTCTTCCTCCTAACCTTCTAAGATGGTCTTTACATGGACTGAAGAAGAGTCTGCTAACTCCTCTCCTTGGATCCGACATCGCCAAAGGCCAGACTCAGGTGATGCAGCTGACACCTTAGTGATGAGAGAACTAGCAGGGGAGGAGGCTCAGCATTCCTTCAGACAGGACGGTGGGGTGGGATGGCTCCCGTCTGGGCTTCATGACGGCCACGTTTTGCTCAGGAGTTGCCAAGCTGTAGAAGTGATGGGCAAGAGAAGGATATCTTGTTCTGGGAATCTTGATGGAGATAAGCCAGAAGCTACTCATTAACTAGAAACACACAGGCAGGGGGAAAAAAAAGCCCAACTACTTGGGGTGCTTTTAACTCACAATTTAAAAACACGGTAGAGAATGCATATAGAGATAATCATGTATAGCTGTTTGACAATTCTCTCTCTTCTCCCTGGAACCCAATTTTTCCAATAAAATCTTAAAAGACAAAGAGAATTGAAAGATGATTTAGCTTTATGCAGTCCCCTTACTTTTCAAATGAGGAAACAAGAGCCCAGAAAGGGGAAATGATTTGCTCAAGGTCACCCGGCTTGTTAGCGGCAAGGCCAGGAAAAGAACCCAGATCTCCCGACTCCTCACCTACTTCCCCTGTCTCTCTATATGCAGGAAAGCTCCAGAGTAGAGTTGCTATTTAAAAAAGAAATGTATAGCTTCCTTAAAAAATTAAACATAGACTTATCATAAGACCCCATATTTCTACTTCTAGATATACACCCCAAAGAATTAAAAACCAGGACTCAAACAAGTACATGTGCACACATGTTCATTGCAGCATTATTCGCAACAGCAAGAAGGCGGAAACAGCCCAAATGTCCATCAAAAGAGGAATAAATAAGCAATATGGCAGTATGTACGTTCCGTGAAATATTGTTTGGCCGTGGAAGATAATGAAGTACTACACATGCTGTGATGTGGATGAAATCTGAGAGGGTTATGCTCAGTGAGAGAAGCAAGACACAAAAGGTCCCATATAGAATGATCTCATTTATAGTCAAGATGCAAAAGGTAAATCCATACAGCCAGGACACAGAGGGGTGCTCACCAGAGGCAGAGGGGAAGGGAGAATGGGGAGCGATGGCTTAATGGGTATGGGGTTTCCTTTTGGGGTGAGAAAGGGATTGCACCGGAGTAATAAGCAATAGTCGATTGAGGTGATGGTTGCACACACTGTGAATGTGTGCTGAATGACAGTGAATTGTTCACTATACATTGGTTAACTTTATGATATGTCAATTTTAGCTCAATAACAAAGAAATGTAAGCACTGGTGTCTATAAAGGGCTCATACAGATAAAACAGCAGAGGATGAGGAGGGGGGGTTATTCCACATGGGGATATAGGCACCCTCAGCTCCCTGAGCCCGGTCCACTCAGCCTGGAAGATAGGTACATGACTTGCAATCCTTCCAGTACATCCTGAAGGACCTTCCACCTACATCTAAGGAAGGGAGTGTCAACTGGTATCTGGGCATGGGGCTTCTAGTGCTGCGCTCAGAGAACCCAAGGTGGAGCGAGGAGGGAGATGCCCCACCTGAAGCTACCCCCACACCACCGAGACTTACAGTTCCCCTATCCTGATAACCAGGCAGAAAAGGCCAAGGGCAGGGATGTTTAACCGAAAACAGTTAAATGCATGCTTCTAACTAAATCTTACTTCTTACACTATCTTGCTGTATGGCCCAGTCACATAATATCTCAGGTTCCTCTCCTGCTAGGAGTAGAGAAGTACATCATCCAGATGTGGCTGCGGGGGTGGGTGGAGTGATCAGGACCCTTCAAGGGGAATGCCATCTAACTACAGAGCATCCTGGGGAGGAATAAGGAAAATCTCATATCCTGTGAGAGGGCAGATGGGGGCTGCAGAAGAGGGACCATGATGACTGTCTTGGAATGGTGGGAGAGGGTGTGGGGTTTTTTGGTTTAGCTCCATGAGGGCAAAACTAGAACCAAATGGGAGAAAGTTCAGAGAGGTAGCTGCTTCTCTGAGATGCAAAGAAGAATAACCTAATGAATATAGCCATCCTACAATACCATCCATGATAATAAAGACTCTACCCGCACACACTACCATACGATGTGTTTGAAAGATCCTTTTATATCAGATTGAACAGGTAAGAGGTGGATTGCAAGGATATAAAATACATTAAAGGGAGGGCGATTGCAGGGGGAGAGAGTGAGGAAAGGAACAAAAATAAAAAAACTGAAAGAGAAATCTTGTGTGGACTAATGGTGTACTATGAACTGGGGAAGACGATGAACTCAAATCTTGTATGTCTGAAGTTCTCCCCCCAACCCCACAACCCCTGTGTGAAAAGAGAAGAAATAAAAGAGAGAGAACAGAGTTATCCAAACATGAAATGTTCTGCCGTGTGAAGTAC